CTGTCTGTCTGTGGCATCGTAGCTCCTAAACGAATGAACCGATTTTGATGCGTTTTTTTGTTTGAAAGCTGACGTAATTGAGATGGTTCTTAGCTATAATTATAATTTATCAAGATCTGTTCAGGCGTTTGACGATCATCAGCTCATTTCTAACTTGACAAAAGGATCTTACTAACTTTTACAGATCCGATTGATTTGAAATTTGGTGTATTGTTACTTCGGAAGTGTTACCAAGACATACTAACCTTGAGCTGATGCTGTAGCGTTAAATAGTCTGCGGAATGCTTAATTCCTTAGTAACTTATAGCAGACATGTACATATAACTATAAACTATAACTCAATGAGAGTTATCTATTAGATTCAAGTGTCCGCGAGTAATTTAAAAAGAATTAAATAAAAATTAAAAAAAATTGTAACACCCGACATAAAAAAAACTCTAAAAGAAGATTGATACGTACCTAATGATAAAGTGTCACTATACTTAATGCATATGGAATTATATACGGCACATATAATAAAAACACACTTCTTTCAATTTTTGTCTGTCTGTCTGTTAGATTCGGTTAATCTCCGAAACGGCTGAACCGATTTTGATGGGACTTTTACTGGCAGATAGCTTATGTTATATGGAGTAACGTTAAAAAGTTATGGTACTTTTATTTTAAAAAATAATTGGGGTTCGAAGCACAATAATTAAAACCCATGAAATTGTGAACAAAATCCGCGTACCTAGGACGCACCCGAGCGAAGCGAGAGCAAGTCGCTAGTTTTTACATACATTTCTCAGATGTTATATATTTATTAGAAAATGTTAGCTCTCCTGCATAGATAGATACTCCATCTTGAGTACCTAATGCTCAACGTCGCGCTTTTGAGTCCACGCGGGTTTGGGTTCAATTCGAAACTGCTATTATTTTTGTGTAGTAATAAAATATAATTGGGAAATGGGCAGGGAGAGGAAGAAGAAGAAGAATAAATTATAAATTACTTGAGCAGCGAAAGTTATAATATTGTACGCGAGTTATGTCCCCGTATAATTTCTCTTAGGTATTTTATGAACTAGAGACAGCACACTGCTTAAAAATAAATCTTTAAAATGATGACTTTGTTTAGTTTCTCTTCACTGTTTTAAATATTCGTTTTCATTCATTAAACAAGATATAATCTTCCCCAGCACTCTTATCAACACAAAACCTCACAACGTCAGAGCGGTCATCGCGCGTCGCGCGTCGGTTTGTAAAACCCAGAGCACTCGATAAAATTCATGATATGTACGTACGGGAACTTCAACATTTTCTAGGTTATTATTTAATTATAAAAGATAAAATTATAAATGATACATATCGTAGCTATATATTTAATAGGTGGCGTGCCCGGTGCCGGCGGTGATCTTTACAAAGAACTTTAAGAAATTCGCCGCGTGGTTGTATCATATTACAAGATATAGGAAACTCGTTTAATTTTTTTTGGTTCCTTTAAAACTAAAGTACGACTCTTATGAAGCTTTCACCCATACGCTACGTATACTTTCTAAAGTTAATATATGTATCAGTTTTAATATTGTGATAACTAAATAGCCATTAACGCGATGCTATACATAATATGCAAATATTAGATACTAGCGAGTCGCCATCGCTTCAATTCGGGTTCGCCCCTAGAATATTACATTTTTCCGGGATGATATATAACCCATAGCCTTCTTTAATAAAAGAACTGTCTCTTATAATTATTATAAATGAAATAAATTATGGATTAGTAGTTCCTGAGATTAGCGCGTTCAAAGAAACAAACTCTGTTTCTTTATAATATTAGTAGGATTAGATCATAGATAATGAAACATGCCAGTCAACTTTGAAAATATATTTACTCTAACCGAATTTTGCATAATGTTTTATTTGTAAGATGGGTCATCGACAGCATTATGTGTATGAAGAATAATAATTTTTATCTTTTACAATGTAATAAAACTTTACATGAATGATACAGAAGTTAAAGTAGATCTTTTATATTCGCGACAGTTTAATAAAAATAAAATTAAGTGTTTTTATATCATAGTGTCATATAAATTAATGTGTTACAATGGGGATGTTAACAATTTTTTGTATTTGCTTTTATTTTGAAGATTAACTCATGTTTACCATAAAAAAATATTTAATTTAATTGATATTTACTTAATTGAAACTTAATTTATCGACTACATTAAAAAAATAGCTCCATCGTACCTACACTTTTTTAAAATGTCGACGAATAGGTATGTAAATAAACCTCACAAAATAAATACAGATTTGCCGAAAATGTAAATTACTTATGTAAGCTATAATTTTAATAATAAGAGTTATTACTTTTGTGACGAATGCAATGAAAATGAATAAATGCACCGAAAGCATTGGATAAAGGCTTTTATCTGAGTTTCTTGAGCACTGAGCAGGCTCTGTTATCGCGATCCGCGGTTAAGTGCAACTGTTGCGCGTGATAATTGCAGACGATGTCTCAAAGTCAGCCAAACTTGACAAACCTTTGTGTTTTCAATGATTATTCCCTTGATTAATTAGAATGTAACAAGTATCTATCTTGAGTTTTTAATGAAAATATATTTTCCTAAGTAATACAAGCAGAACAAGTTCAAACAAACAAACTACTTCTTAATAATACTAGTAGGTGTAGATCATAGAGAATGAAACATACCAGTCAACTTTAAAAATATATTTACTCTAACCGAATTTTGCATAGTAGACTGCAATAGTTATTTATATGTAGATTATTAGATAAATAAGTTTGTAGAAGAATGAAAAACTAGTTTGTAGTTTGTTTGTAACTATAGCAGTAAAGGTACCTGTCCTTACTGTCCCATCTCAAAAATCCACTCTGTATATAAAACAAAGTCGAATTTGTTACGACGCTTATAACTCGGGAACAGCTGGACCGACTTTTATGATTTTTGTTTTGTTGGATTTATCTTTTCCCCGAATAGCAGAATAACTATTAAAACATCGGAAAAAAAATTGAAAAAAAACTTAATACTAAGCGTCAAAACGTACCTAGGGTCGAACCTGAGCGAAGCGAGTGTGAGTCGCTAGTAAAATATATAATATAAATATATAAAATAAAGTACTTTCTTACAAGATTATCAAAGTAAAGGTTACAATTTGGCACCTCATAAATCTTCGCCTGACCTGGTATTAGTTAAATGTAAAGATTCAAGTCGGTTTTTATGCGTTCAACACTCACGTCAGTATATATACATGTATGTATGTATGTATGTGTGTACCTATGTATTGTATTTTAAATTAAAAAAAAAACAATATGGTTTTTTCGATCTGAAAATTAATGGGTATTTTAAATAACAAAAATATTACTTTGGCTAACCACGTTTTGGTTGCCAAAATATTTTAATACAATCTTTCAATTTTGTCTCTGACAACTAATTTCATGTGATTCGAATTTCGAACGGCGGCCGTTATGTGCGGTGTGTACGTTAAGACAAAGTTGTATCGCAATAATTTAGTATTACGATGTAATACGAGTCAAACATAACATAAACAGTCATAACAGATTGGTTTTGACGCCACTCTTTAATGCTTCAGTGTACAGTCGCTTACAGCTGACATTTTGTTTAAAAATAATTTAAAATATTTTTATAGAGCCATCTCTATTCTGAAAATATCATCAACTTGTAACTCAAACGCAATCAACTAGCTAAAGTATAATAACATTCGCGCTGTATTGGCGGCGTAATACTATATTATGACATTTTTAATTAACAATATACACGCTTAGTTTATGAAACATCTGAAATAGTCCTTTTTCCAATAAAAACTTTACTTTCCCTCGACGTAGACGAGTCGACAATAGCTCTACGTACGTGCACCTTTGTGAGCTTCATTTACCGTTGCTGGCCTTGCGTTGCAGTTCCGTTCTAAAATTCGGTTTGATGATATTTTAGTTCCAAAAATTTAAAATACTCTATGCTATGCTAAGGGTTGATGTACCTACTATCAACTTCCATATACTAATAAAGTGTGTATTTAATATGAGCTTACTTTAAATACATCAATTATTTTCACATAATTTTTCTCATATTCAGTTAAAATCGGTAATTAAATACTATATATATATGTAATTATATGGCTTCCTTACTTTATGGTTTGTGTTGTAGTGTAAGTTAGTAATACTTGTACCTACATAGAATAGTATATTTCTTCATCGCGGTTTAAGAGTGCGTCCTTCACGTACACACGTATGTGTTTCGTCGCAAAATCCATAATAAAGGTCATATTCGAGAGCTGAACACACGCGTAGTGTTCCTCAAATGGCAAGCGCTTCGCATTGTCTAAGCCTTTTGTTTAAAGGTCGCCGGGGCTCGTATCCGCGCCGCGTTCCGTTCCGAGGTTATAGGAGTAGCTCATGAGACAGGTGACTAATCACCTGCATTCAGCCGCTCACGTGTCGCCCTCGTTATCGCACCACAAAAATATACCTAAATGTTTTCAAAGACTCGAGACAGTTTCACCATGCGCATGGCCTTTACACTCTCGTCACGTCGACCCGTTTCTGACGATGCCGACTCCGCGTAAACTTAGCGATGCTTGCACTTATCTTTTGTTTTTGTAACACCAACATCTGAATCTCACTGCAAAAATTTACCTTAAAATTAGATCCGTATTTACTCAGTGTTAACGTTAAGAGCGAACAGGCTTCAAATTATGTATCCTCGCTTGGTGCTAGCGATAATTTGAAGCTCGACGTCGAGCGCACCTGCATACTGACGTCACCGCAAACACAACATTCGATCGACTCGCTCGCAGATAATAAATACGGGTGTTTCTTCACGACTACTTTCCAAAGCTAATTAATATGGGATAGATAATCGCTTGTCATTGTAATCTGATGGACCTGCTTATAGTTTTAAATAAAAGTATTATAAAAGGAAGTTTTTTAATAACTTTTTTGTCCCGCTAAACGTTTAAAGTATAGTTTAACGATATCGTCCACGTGCATAATGTGTTGTCTGTGTGTCGCTAGGGAGGAGGGCGAGGAGAAGCCGAAGGCGGCGGAGAGCCAAGATGACGGGTACGAGACGAGCAACAGCGGCGAGGCGGCGCGCCGCAAGCCCTCCAGCGCCGAAGGCTCGCCGGCGCCGCCGCCCGCGCGCAGCCCGCCGCCCGACGCCGCCTATGAGCCGCTCCTGCAGCGCCCCTTCCCCTCCCCCTTTCGCCACTTCGAGGCGCCCGCGCCGCCCGCCCCCGCGCCCGCGCACCCCGCGCCCGCGCACCCCACGCCCGCCGCGCCGCCCGCGCACGAGCCCGAGCCCTACCAGCACTTTCCCTTCCCCAAGTACCCGCAGGACCCGTATGGCTTCAAGCGCGAGGCCGACGCGCCCTACGACATGAGCCAGCACCACCACCAGCCGCACCAGCCGCTGCACCACAACTACGCGCCGCCCAAGCGCGACGACGAGCTGTACAACGGCGTGAAGCGCGAGTGCGACGACCCCTACTCGTTCGTGGAGGAGGAGGCCATGTGCGCCATGTTGGGCCAGCAGCACCATCTGCCGCCGCACCTGCACCACGAGCACCACGAGCACCCCCTACAGCACGCGCACCTGCCACACCAGCAGCACCCGCAGCATCCGCAGCATCAACACGCCCATCAGCAGATGATGCTTAACCAACCTAAGAAGCGTGGCCGCAAGAAAAAAATTAAAGACGAAAACGGGTAAGTCTTAATATCTCTGTCCCTTTAGGTTTTATAAAGCTCATGTATAAAGACATAAAAAATATGTAGTATTTTCTCTTTTAACTTAGGTATTATAGTTTCACTATAATGATCACACAGATAATATATTAAGATATTAATCTTATATAATGACGTACCCATATTTAAAAATATCAATAGTCAAGACTACATTAATGTTCTGTCAAAAATCACAAATATTCATATATGTTATGTTAGGAATAATTTTGTGCTCTATTAAGCTATTGAGCTGGAGTAAACGGAGAAAAGTAAATAAAAAAAATCTGGCAAACTAACTTCAGTAGGTATAGAATGTATAGAAGGCGTATGTCATATATACATACATATACATGTTGCATATGTTGCTATTGTGGGTTGATTCAAGCCGACGCGGCCGCGCACAAGCTAACGGCTAGATGGGGAAGTATATGGGCGCGTGATCTGACGTTGCAGTCCCGCGAGCCGCGACACGACGTAGGCGACGCGCGGACGCTGACCCCGCGCCGGAATTAGTCCCGCGACCCACATCCTCCAGCGGCCGACCACGCGGACGGCGGAACCCCTAGCGGTGTGCTCCCTATATCTCTCGAAAAATATCGACATACTCGCACCTACAGTGCGTCACTCCATCGACGCCGCCGTCGCTCGCTGCCGACGTGCGCCGCCGACGTGCGCCGAAACATCGAATATAACAGAATACGTCGTTAGATCACACTTAAAATAGTGCTCAAAAACCTGTTCGCTATACTTCGTCGAATGTAAAACGAGTAGTTTATGTCGTTTGTACGTGTATCCAGGAGCTATAAATAAAAAATTGATCAGACTTAGATGACTTCACAAATTTCCAGAGAATAAGAATATTTGCCGTGACTGCAGCGACGCGACGGCTCATAAAGTTTGACGACTCGGCAAACAGTTCTGTTTGCTTCCATCGTGAGCTCACGACGTGACTCACTCGCAAAGATCCTTCACTGCCCACTATTGACACTTATAGAGCCAAGGCAATGGATGAGATTAAATGCAGGGCTGGACACTTCGCGTCACTCAGATGTGATAAATGGTTCGGAAAGTTAGGTGCGTCTGAACTCTGAGGGTCGAAACTCAACTAAAATATCTTCGACATTTAGCTTCTTCTTAATATATTATCTTGAGACGTCTGCTATTGTGATGCTGTTAATATAATATATGAGAATACAACGCTTCTGTTGTTTACAAAATACGAGTAGGCACACGTGTATGTAGGTACTCAATTAAGGTTACTTGTAAGGCAATATTTTTTACCTAAACGCATTGTTTACTCGCGGAGATAATATTAACTAAGAATTCACACTTAATATAAATAATAATTATAACTATCCGGGAACAATTGCAAGTGCCAGTTTTTGTAAAATGTCTTGGGAATGTTTGCACAATAAATCGTCTCGATCGCGTCGTTCTTAGCCACCGTCCATATCAGGCGCGCGGTGGCCGCTATGGCGGTATGGCGGGAGCAAGACAATAGCCACGATATCTGTAACGCAATCGGAGTGATCTCGAGGAGACGCCGCAGTCACGTAGCGACGGGGCGTGACGTCGCAGCCTCAGCTTCGAAAACATCCAGCCGTTGAGAATCGATTTCATGTCTTTGAGCCGCCTTTCAAAACCACTACTGTACACCTAATCGACGCTCGGCTCCGAATACCCTTGAAACTCTGAATTGCATTAACTACATCGTCGTTATCACAAAAACTAGTACTTGAATAGATTAAAACTTTAAGATCACGGTTTCGCCTCCTCTGTTCTCGCAAAAACATGATTTTTAAACGTACAAGCACTAGAATATAATTAATTAATAAAATACCAGTAGTAATTAGGCCTTCGTCTACTTGAAAACGATGTTGAAATTACAGCTATATGTATACATGGGTATGTGTGTATATCTGTATGTATATATGTAGGTATGTATAGTAAAGAGGTCGTAGGTATAGGTATGGTATGTTTACTGCGTAAATGTAGATGCAAGTTCTCGCTACAAGCTTTGATGACCTCATCTGCTGAAGGAAGGTAAATCGAATGGGACGCGACCAATTTCCGCAACTGGTTCGAGCGTTCCGAAGGTCGCTTCCAATTTCCAGCGTGGCTTAATTGCTAACGTGTGAGTTTAAGATAAATCGGACACAATGATTGAAATTAAGGGTAGTGAAAGGAGTCGATCGAGCGAGCTCAAAAGGAAGGCCACTCTCGAATGACCCAACAAACGAGTCTGTGTACAGAGGATTTGATACAGTAAGCACCATTTCGATTCAACTTGTGACGACTACCGTATAAATCAGCCGTACAAAAACGGTCCCATTCGTGTCTGCGATCTATAATCTTAACTTAAGTTTGGTCGTTTTTTAATACTTTTCTACTGCAACCTCGTTTTCCACAGCGCCTTGTCGCAGTGCTTAGTAATGATCGCAATTTATTACATCGTTAGCGTCTGTTAATGACAATACAAAATTTTCAATAAACGCGAGCCGCCGCACGCTCCGCGAGCAAATAAAGGTGATCTTAATGATCACACAGCGTCACGATCTCTTCGAAACATCGTTAAGGCTTTTGACGATTGCAATATAAATTGCTATTGACGACGTACTCTTTGGTTTGAGCTTACCTACAAAATGAAACCGGTCATGCTTCTGATGTTACAGGCGATTACTGTAAATGATCAGTGCACACCGCCATGTACTCATGTATGTATGTATGTATTTATGTATACAGGGCACGTGCTGTGCGGCTCTGTGCACTCTGTGTAGGGCTGAGACTCGAGAGGCGCAGACACATTGGGCTGAGAGTGCGTGAACAACTGAACAATGCCAGTAGGATGCGCGCGCAGCCCGCGCACTGTTTACGTCGCAAGTATTTCGGTACCGGAACCGAAGCCCGCGCTATCGCTAGCCAAAAATTCGAGCTAAATAATCAGATCAAGGTGGAATCGTCCAAACCGAACGTTTATAATGCTTTCCACATTATAATCGTTTTAGCCTCAATTATCTTTTCGTGTTCCGCTATGCCACCTCAAAAAATATAACGAAAAACTTCATTGAAACACATGAAAAACGCAAACGGTTGCGCCTCCGCAGTTACTCGACGCATTATCGGCTCATTTTATTGGGACGGTGAAATTAAACACTTCTTCGATTTAATTATATTAAGATTGGAATTCTTCATAATTGCCGTTTCGTTAAAAATTAAACGAATTGAAACTACATACATATATTTGCACGTCCCCGAGAGCCGGCTGAGCCTGTGGGCTGCGGGCTACCGGGTCTTGCGCTCCGAGTGTGGCGCGGAACGGAGAACTCGTATAATTGTAGAAACTACACGGTTTCATTTTTTGCTTGTTAATTAAGTTTTTTGCTACGATAATAAACACAAGCTAAAATATATCAGACTAACAATTAGCATGCAAATGGCACCTGAAGCACCGACGCAACACTACATTCGAGGTTTCGGAACAAAAAATTATCATATTTTTGAATCACATGGAAATTAACTCGCTATCTGCTACTACTGCGATATTATAATTTTATTATAATATAGCAGGTATATTACACTTAATTAAATATTATTCAACGTCTTAAAATTATTGTAAATATTTGGTTTGTGGTAAAAATAAATGATTTACGATGGTAAACCTCGTCCGCCGCCGTCCCGCTCAGATATAAATAACAATAAAACGCTCATAACGGCTCAAACTTGCCGGATTATATTTTGAATTTGTGTGTCAAAAATTAAATCACTTGTCAAAACAAGCCATAATGTAGTCGACGTGAAGACACTTGTGTTATGCGCATTGCGCACTGGCGCCGATTTTGCATGTACGAGACGAGTAGTAGGTATGTACCTATAAGTAGAAAAAAAACTTTTAAAATTATATGATATGTGTTTACTTAATGTCTTCGTGATTTTTGCTATACGTTTAAGTATTTGATTTTTACACCTTTTTAAGGTTTCATATTTTATATTAAACTAGCAGAACCCGCGGCTTCGCTCGCGCTAATACTACAAGAAAATCTCAAAAGGTAGTTTAATACAAACTTTTATTCTTTATTTTACCCTCTTATAGGATGAATTTCGACAAATGCTAAAACACGTTTTGTAATTTTATTGAAGAGCATTAATACCAAGTTTCAAGTAATCTTTTTTTTTGGATTTTATTATAAAGTGTTTTCCCGTGGGAATTAGGTAAACTCCCGCGGTAAAGTAGCCTATGTCACTCTCCAGCCCCCCGACTCCACACAAAAAATCACGCCAAACCGTCACTTCGTTTCGACGTGAAAGAAGGACAAACAAACTAACACACTTTCACATTTATTATATTTTATTTTAGTATGGTAAATTATTACATTTTTCCTAAATCGCCTATTAATACTACTATATTATGTTCTTTAAATGTAATATTAACTTCTAAGTTTATTTTATGATATATTTTTCTTTTATTACTGTGGATAAGTTGTTGCTAGAGGACAATTTACTTATTTATATTAATATGTGATTTAGCCCGGAAAGTAAAAATAACTATTAAAAAGAAAGTATAATAGTAATTAGAAGAGTTGAATTCGCAACTCACTGCGCAGCAGGGTCATGCGTCTTGAAGTCTAGATTGTAGGTAGTTACTGTGTGAGGAAACCTAACTTATACTTACAACTTCGCTTGAGCGGTGAGCCCGCCGCCCGCCGCCCGCCGCCCGCCGCGGACAGCACGACGCACGTGCAATGAAACGACATCAAAAACAACTACATCAAATTGACGCGAACATTTTTATTTATTGCATTACATACAAATAAAAAATATATATGAAAATAAAAAAATAACAGACTGTATAAAAGCTAACTGAAAGTATTAAAACAAGTTAACGAAGGAATAAAGTATTATGCAGTCGAAGACACACAAGAGGTATATAATATATATGCAAATATGAAATCCGACATTTTAATTTTTAATTATTTTATATAGCCCATGACACTTGCGTTATCAAGATGAATCTGACGACGCGACGTATTAATCATCTAAATCGGCCCACGCATTTGGTCTCTAGAATGCCACATAGGAACAAACATACATACATAGACTGATAAACACATTACCCTCCTCCGCGCAGCGCCTTCGGGTAATTCTATTACATAAAACCAAAATCTATACTAATATTGTAAAGCGGTAAAGCTTGTGAGTTTGTGGCGTTGTAGGGGTTAATCTCTGGATCTACTGAAACGTTTGGTAAGAAGATAGTTTGAGACCCTGGGAAGGACAGGATAGTTTTTATCTTGAAAATAATCCCTTAAGGGGGTAAAAATGGGGATGAAATTTTGTATTGGGAAGCAAGCTAGGGACGGACCCTAGCAAAGCGAGGGTGAGTCGCTAGTGATAGATAAAAGAGATCCTTGGTGAATCAGTGGACTCGAAACAGCTAAAATGTAAACACATCCATTGTTCAAAATGTGACGATATCTGATATTATCTGAAAGATAAACGTCGTGTTGTAACTCGTGAGATCGTTACGCGTGCGCGTGTCTCCATACGTGAATGTTCAATCGCATTATAGGTACTTCCTATATAATACTATTAAAAAAAAAGAATAAACGAAATTATATAGTCGACTACTGACGCTCCCGCACGTCGGAATCCACGTTTTTATGTTATATGAATCCACGTTATTATGTTGACAAAGTGAAGGACCTCGGACGCGTAGGCAGATTATCTTCTAGGACAAGCGATCGCAAAACGTGCCTGAAGTATACCTACGACGACGTAATCCGAGACATTTACGATTGCCGATTTGTAATGTCGACTGCCATTGTTGCTATAGACGCTGTAAAATGCAATACAAAACCTAATAAAATTATCGGCGGCTTGCAACGAGGCTCTCATACAAACCCTCTTTTTTTAAATATAGCTTTCGATTCGATCGCGCTCTACGTTTAATACCCAAAGAGAATTTAGATGATTGATGCGTTAATCCAAAATTCAATAGGCAACAATAAAACACTTGTCCTCTATCTACCTAACAAATCTATTTGGCAAATTGAAACTGGTAAGTTATAAAAGAATATTTATCGTTAAGTATTACATTACTATGAAATTTTCATTTGTTAGCTGTTTGTTTGAATTAACTTTTTAATGTGATAATACACACAACCACCGAGATGTTCTTGAAATAGGAACTAAGTCACGTGACCAGTCACACATGTATTCATAACAATAAGAGGAGAATTAGGAAAGTACTTGGTATAAATCCTAAATGGCGCCAGACTCGTTTGAATAATAAATAAATAATAAATAAATAAATAAATATGTTGGGACATTAACACACAACACTATCTAGTTCCATGGTAAGCTACGAGGCTTGTGTTATGGATACCAGATAGTTGATACACTACACATATAGTTTTAAATACATACATATTATAAATATAAACATCCATGACTGAAGTACAAACATTCATGCTCATCACACAAATGAATGCCCCCAGCGGGACTCGAACCCGCAACCGCTGGCACAGAAAGTAGGGTCACTACAAACTGAGCCAAACGTGTCGTCAATGGAGCAACTGTTTTGATTTAATAAAAGTTATCAGGAGTTACGCACTCTCCTCTCCTATGTCGTATTGTAAACTTTATCATAATTCGTAAGTCACCAATGTTATCAAGTTTTATTTTTTGATATTAATATATTCATTTAGATATATTTTTGGTATTTCTAAATACGTTCTTGTATATAAAATGAAGTAAAATACAAGCGTATGTATAATGTTTTAAAAAATATATCAAATTAATGGTTATAGTAGTATACTATAAATTTTTTACTAGTTCGATTAATTTATGTTGTAATGAAATTCGACAAAAATCAAGGTGTGCAACATAAAATATTTCAAGAAAAATATCCTTACCAATCTATACATCTATACAGATAAATATAATTCTGTTTGTAACGTCGACATAACAGCTTTTTACTAGATGTATATGAAAAACACAATATTAAAATTTCTTGTCTGTCTGTATGTTCCGGCTAATCTCCGAAACGGCTAGACTGATTTTGACGGGACTTTCACTGGATAATAGTTGATGTTATAAGGAGTAACTTAGGCTATTTTTATTTTAGAAAAAGAATTAGGATTTCGTTCAAAAAAAATAAAACGTACATACCTTGGAACTCATCCGAAGCGAAAATAAATTGCTAGTTTATATAATGTTTGGTAGTTAGTTATACTTTTGAAGTAATTTTGGATATTGAAATATCTATGCTTGTAATACTTTCTTAGATTTACGCGAATATTTGACATCTATACATATAATAAAATTCTAAGTCGAATCTGTACATTAAATATCTTTTGGAAAATCTTATTGCAATAGACATTATTATCGATACAGAAGCCGAATCTATAGTTTTTAGAATTTTTGTCTGTCTGTCTGTCTATCTGTTTAAAAACCACTGGAGGGATTTTGATGCAATTCGGTATGATGGTAGCTGGTTATCCGGGTCAACATATAGGATACTTTTTATTGCGGGAAAATATCTCATTTCAGAGAAAAATACAAAAACTGCATTGTAAGAGTATACTAATATGTAAAACCTATGAATTTGGTTTTTGGTCACCTGAACGCGGGCGGAGCCGCGGGCAGTGCTAGTTTTAAATAAAACTATCTTTTCGGATTATTTCGTGGATTTTTTTTTGATTTTTGGTTCCCGACGTTTCGAATGCTTTACAGCATCCATGGTCACGGGAGAGACTGAGGTGTTACGTCTTGAAGGTATAAGTAGTTGATACAGACAGCCTATCACAATTAACAGAATGAAAATTGCACCAATTACATTACAATATTTTTTAACTTTAATTTTTATAATTTTAATTAGTTTTATAATTGAATATGGAATATTATTTATTTAATTTTAGCTGTTATCATTATAGTTATTACAATTTAAAAAAATATTAATTAGTAATCTATACCTATTTAGTGTTGCCATTATTACATTTATAACCATAAAGAAAAAATATCAAATTTAATATTAATTATTTAAGCCACATAGTCGTTTGTGTAATTTAAAAAGTTAAAATTAATTAAGAATAATAATTTATTTTAGTTTGCTATTATTTAAAAAAGAGACAAATGACTAGGCAACACTATTACTATATACTTTTACAAATGAAAAATATTAATCTGATATGCTGCCATTTTGATCCACACAGAAAGAACTTATTACATCTACCTGTCTGTTATGTTTAGATTTATTATTTGATTTTATTATATTAATAATAGGATCCCATGACGATGGTAGCACCCAGCCATCTTCCCTATTGAAATTTTGATGTTTTTTAATTTCTATGGCTTCTCGAATCATTCTAGGGCGATATCGGTTTTCTTTCGCGAGGTTTTAGTCTATCGAAGCGCATATAATGGCTTGGGCGGTCCTGGCTATGTTTGCAGACAGCAGATGTTGTATTGCGACGATGCTTCACATCAGCTATGTGTTCTTTGACCCGGGTTCTAACGGATCGCTTTGTTTGTCCGATGTAAGAGTGCCCACAATCACAATCAAGCTTGTAAACTCCTGCATCTTGTAGAGGGATGTGGCACTTGACAGGTGGTAAGAACTGACTGATTTTCTTTGGCGGCTTGAAGTAAGTTTTAATTGAAGCTCGCTTTAGAGTGTAGCCAATCTTGTCTGTGACGCCTCTCATGTAAGGTAGGACTGCAGGGACGCGCTCGACTGTGGCTGGTTTCACTCGGTCCCTGTGACGTAGGCGCGGCACTTGCAGCTTGTTGTCTCGCAGAACTTGCTTGACATGTTGCAGGTCTCGGGCCAGGTGTTGCTCGTCACAGATCCCGCGCGCTCTCGGAAACAAAGATTTTCCCACGGTAGCTAACTGTGAAGGATGGTGGTGAGATTCACCACCATCATTTTTTTTCATTTTGTTATTTGTAGGCTTTCTATAACAACTATACCTTTTAAACATCTAACACCTCAGTCTCTCTCGTGACCATGATTGCTGTAAAGCATTCGAAACGTCGAGAACCAAAAATCAAAAGAAATCCGCGAAATAATCCGAAAGGATAGTTTTATTTAAAGTCTACGCTTGTCTTTAATAAAATATGAAAGGTAATATATTTAACTCAGGTATCTCCATTATGAATTTCAGAATGGAAATCAAAGTGGAGGGCGTGATGGACGGCGGGCTGGCGGCGGTGCGGCCCGTGAAGGAGCGCAAGAAGCACGACCGCTTCAACGGCATGAGCGAGGAGGAGGTGTCGCGGCGGACGCTGCCCGACCACCTCGCCGAGAACCTCGACATCATCATTGTGAGTACGATCGCCACACATCATTTTATTATTATATCTACTGTATTATTACTTGTGTGTCCCTTGTCTTGTTGGATCTACTCGACCCATTCAAGTGAAATTTAGCTTGGTTTATAAATTAGCTTATGATTTGTAGCTAGAAGTTACAACAAACAAATCGTATTGAACGCCGTCTAGTGTTTCTTAGGTGATACGCCATTAAACATACGAAGGGAAAAAATTAAAACAAATACTTTAAGTAGGTACCATCACATCTTATGGATCATATAAAATGTTGGAGATATTTCAAATATATGTAAACTCGTAAAGAGAGAAATGAATGATAGCGTCTTTAATTTTAAATAAAAGTCTCGCTCTATATAACAGTCGAGCCCACACTTAACGGCCGATTTTGACTTGTGACGCGATAATTATAATGACGCAATTGATCCACTGCAACATTGAAATAATCAGCCCATTCAAGGCTCATTCGTTCATTTCGCGCTCACGTTTATAATAAAATTTCGTAATCGATTTAAGATTTGCCGTTCAATGCTTCAAAGTTACAATAAAAAACTTATTAATAAACATGGCACATTGTTCTACTGCTAGCGGGCGGCACCCAGAGGTGTCGAGTCGCTGGAAATGTTGATTTTTGCACGTGATTGTAAATTAATTAATATATAATAAAAAATCACAAAAGACTAACTGTTCTAAGTTTCTCACGGGGGGAGTTTTATTTCATATTTTTTTGAATTATATAGCGTGTATTCATTTGTATTGAAATTTTTATTAGTTTGACTACTGTTGTAGCGCAGTAGGGGATTGTCTGCTTTTCGTTTCTAGCATATTTTCTGCGCTAGTAACAAGTTCGGCTCTTGCATCAGATTTTTTTTTATTTATCATGTCCATGTAATCGCAATGATACCGGTCCTAAAAGACAAAACACGATTTCGGCTTTACCATTTCAAATTTACTGCCTCTCTTAAAATTTGTTGTAAAGATGACCTGATGAAAAACCTTTTATCTATCTATTTTCCTTTTATCCTATACATATATGTCACCTGTTCTGTGACATCCGTGTCGCACTTAGTATCCACTATCTACTTAGGTTACCTATGTATATAATAATGTCAACATAAACCGTTTAACAAGTACCCTCTTACTAAGCTGACTTACAGATTTAACTTTAGTCGTTACTCAAACATACTAGAGAGTTTAGTCACTGCGCTTTATTATACCGGTTATAATTACGAAAACGCCACCTAGCACCTAAATTCAAATTATTATCATTGTCACCGCCTGTTTAACAAGTGTTATAATACATTTTGTATAACAAATTTCAGATCGGCATCAACCCGGGGCTGTTCGCGGCGTACAAGGGGCACCACTACGCGGGCCCCGGGAACCACTTCTGGAAGTGCTTGTACCTGTCCGGCCTCACGCGCGAACAGATGAGCGCCGACGAGGACTACAAGGTAGTGCCCGAGAGACGTCGACGTGTGGCCATTCAGATCACTATTGTAAATGCGAGAGATTGTATGTGTGTATGTTTGTTACTCCTTTATGCTTGGACGGAATCGGATGGAATTTACGTGCAATTTATGTACAAGACTACGACTTGAAGTAACACTCATATATATAACATACTGTTATGTACGGTATCTAAGGAACTTATGCACGTAACTCGCTAGTATCAATATAATAATTTAAAATAATTTTAAATATAGTTATGTAGAAAATTTACAGACGCAATATGTTGCTTTAGTCTCTGCTGGTGAAAGCGAGGGAAATTGGATGAGTGTAGAAAAAAATAAAGAAATCTTTTAGATTGTAATTATTAACAATAATAGATGAAGTGTGAGAACGAAATAAAATATATATTGTGACTCGTGTTTATCGCACGCACGGCGGCGTAACTGCGACGTGGGCGGCTGCTGCAAGTGCAGACTCGTAAAGCGATGTTTCCAGTAACGATTTAGTATCTAGTTGAATGAAGAAAACAACAAATCGTTAAAAGTTTTTTAAAACAAGTCCATTACGGTAGACAAGTGAACGTAATAAATGTAGTGCGAATACATTGATGGCCCCGGAGTGCAAATGTTTCGCGGGCCACTTCAGCTATCGACTGCATTGGAGTTTTCAGCATATTGATCACTTTTTGTTTACAAAACTAAATTCAACTTCATATGAATCTAAACAGCGCCGACGTTGCTAGGCGTAGGTACCTCTGTACACTGGATTGTCGTTATATATAATACTGACGTAAAGTCGGTCGATCTCGAACTGAAATGTGTACCGATTATGAATTAACTAAAATTAAAATATTAGATCTTGAGGTAGAAATTATTTATAAAAAAAATATCATGAAAATCAGTACACAATTGGCGAGAACATATCCTGTTGTAACATGAATCGAGCGGCTCCTCCTCATTTGAACGTGGTCAATAATAATTAATATTGATAAAAATTAAACGTAAGCGTCTGAACAAAAAAAAAGCAATTTTAAAATAAACTTGCGGCTCACCCTTGTTTCGTTCGGGTTCGCCTTTACAAAAACAAAATCAAATTTATTCCACAGGAATCGTACATTTTTCCGGGATGAAATGTAACCTATGTGCTATTCTAGATTATAGTCTATCTCTGTGCCGAATTTCATCCAGATCCGTTCAGCCGTTCTGGCGTGAATGAGTAACAAACATCCATCCAAACATCGAAACTTTCACATTTAGAATATTAGTAAAAAGTAAGATTTGATTAAGTAAGGTATGATTTTTGAATTAAAGTAAAAAACTTAAAGGAAAAATGACTATTTTATATATAAAAATATATAAAAAATAAAAAGAAATATATTATAACGTGAACTCAAACTTACCTTTGCCATTGAATACAATTTTAGTATAAGTAGTAATTACCATAATTAATTAGAATTTATTTTACATACACTAAGTGTGTAACATTTTACTAAAATGTAGGAATTATCATTATCGTTCATTCATTATCTACAAAAGAGAAAAAATAATTTGAAGACCTAAGTATTAAAAAAATAGATATTTTTGAATAATTTAGAATTTCATTTTTCGTATAAAAAATCAAATAAGAAGGAAGGTCCACTGTGAGTTCAAGTGATGTTATATTTTCTTAAGTTTTGGCAGTTACTCATGCATAAAACTAAGCATGATACGTTCGATGGTCCCCGCAGCTGCTGAACTTCGGCATCGGGTTCACGAACATGGTGGCGCGCCCCACCAAGGGCTCGGCGGACCTCACGCGCCGCGAGATCAAGGAGGGCTCCGCCATCCTGCTGGAGAAGCTGCAGACCTTCCGCCCCAAGGTGGCCGTGTTCAACGGCAAGCTCATCTACGAGGTGTTCTCCGGCAAGAAGGACTTCTGCTTCGGCAAGCAGCCGGACACCATCGCCGGCACCAACACGGTACATATCATACTATATATTATTTTCGAATTATCGAATATTCGAATATCATATTATTCGAATTGTTATTATTTTTTTTTCATAACTAAGTATGAAATTAACAGATTTTTTAAAAAATAACAACTCTTAATCATTGTATTTTATCGACGGGTGTGAGCAACCTATCTGTCTGAAGTCGTCCTTATTAGAGATAGTGACATAAGCTCCATACAAAAATTATGTCAAAATCGTATAATGAGAACCATAGATAGATATAAGATAAGTTATCGAGATCCGTGGTATAAGTACATATAAAGTAAATCGGTTGTATGTCGTCATTCGTAATTACTGCGAGAGTGCTTTCAATTTAAATGTTATCTACTAGAAATATGTTATAAGGTAGTCAGATACAGTTTCCGTAACGATGAGTGTGTGTGTGTACGTGTGCAGTACATGTGGGTGATGCCGTCGTCGTCGGCGCGCTGCGCGCAGCTGCCGCGCGCCGCGGACAAGGTGCCGTTCTACGCGGCGCTGAAGAAGTTCCGCGACTACCTCAACGGGCTGGTGGCGCACGTGGACGAGGCCGAGCTCGTGTTCCCCGACACCACCAGCCGCCGCCCGCACGAGGAGATGGAGATACGCAGGTGCGCCCGCACGACACTACTGTCGACTGCTACGGTCTATTTTTATTCCTATAAAAATGAACTTAAACTTATAGGAGCACTTTGAAAAAAACATGCGCTTATGATCAAAAATGATATTGACTTTAATTGAAGTGGGAAAAATTTAGTCAATGCTTTATCGACGTACGCTTTGAAATAAAGCAGTAAAATGTACGACAAAGAGATATCAGGCACCCCCGTGCAAAGCGAGAGCAAATCTCTAGTATTATATAAATACATTACTTTAAACTTAAACTTTTAGACCAATTTAAATATATATTTTTTTTATTTATATTTCTTTTTTAGGTCAAAGATTAATTATATGAAAAAAAGTCAAAATTTAAACAGCACAAAGCAATTCCATATCAATCTAGAATCATGATTATTTAATAGAAGTCGATAAAATATTTTATACCCTAAAATACATTAAAAGTATCTTCTAGTTCGTTCAAAAGTTATAACTCGTAAACGACAGATTAAAAATATTGCACCAAAGCGAGTCTACTTGCAGATTGACCATGGAGCCCGAGCCCGGAGACACCATCATCCTCGAGGACGGCACCGAAGTACCGCTAAAGAAAAAACGCGGCCGTCCCAAGAAGGTGAAGCTGGAGAACGGCGAGAGCGCGCCGCCCGCGCCGCGCGCGCCGCGCCCGCCGCGCCCGCCGCCCGCGCTCGACCTGCAGGGCGACCACCCGCCCAAGAAGAAGCGCGGCCGCCCCAAGAAGATCCGCCCCGAGGAGCAGCAGTTCCTCATGCAGCAGCAGCAGCAGCAGCAGCAACAGCAGCAGCAGCAGCAGGTCATTGTTCATTATATCGCTTCATGTCAATCTATACTAATATTATAAAGAGGTAAAGTTTGTGATATTGTGAGTTCGTGACGTTGTAGGGGGTGATCTCTGGATCTACTGAACCGATTTTCAAAATTATTTTACCAATAGAAAGCCACGTTCTTTCCGAGTGTCATAGGCTATATATTAACCCGAAGAATGAATAGACTTTTTCATGGTAGTCGGATTTGCAAGTAACCAATGTGTTATTCTAATATATGAGATATATATTATTTTTCATTAAAAACCATTTAGTAATTTTTGCGTGAAAGAATAACAAATTACGTACAATTATTTATCGAATGTGTGCAAGATATAAATCTTATATAGTTCGTCCAGTAGAGATATTATCTAGTGTTTTTTCTATAAATATGAAGCACGTTGTAATTAATGAAGATAGTGGTGATGACTAATAAAAGTATTTTGTATGAATATCGGTTCAATTTCTATTGAGAAAATATCTATTCTATTTCTTTTTAAACCTTTCGTGCCCAATATTGAAAAACTTAAAATGCATATGCAAGATAAAAGTGTCAACATAGTGGTCGTACGGTGCCTGCTCACTTACTTTTGATTTTTTTGACATGTTGCACCTCTTGGATTTTAATGAAACTTGGCATGCTGTTAGACTATATATAGACAATTATTATGTTTTTTTTTCAAAGTGTTAATTTAATTCTATCTGATAGAAATTGATTGACAAAATTTTTATTTGCATTTTTTTAATACCTTTATTTAGGCTTGGCCCATAGGAAACAGCTATAAAATAAACTATAACATTTAGTTTTATTTTGCTAGCTTTGAAATTAACTAAGATATATCGCTTCGAAAAAAAGTCGGTCCCGGACACTTTTTTTCAAATAGCTCCTCAATTAACTAAGATATAGAGCTAATATATTATACTGGATCCATTACTGTTAATGTCCTCTACAATATAACATTGGTTACGATATAAGTTCCTATCGGGGGCACTTTCGCTACAGAAGTACGTCTAGACCCTTTGTTAACAAGATAGTTTGAGACCCTGGGAAGGACATAGGATACTTTTTATCCCGGAAATTATCCCTTAAGGGGGTGAAAATGGGAATGAAAGTTTGTATGGGGAAGCAAGCTAGGGACGAACCCGAGCGAAGCGAGGGTGAGTCGCTAGTTAGATATACACATGTTCTAGTTTTTTTTTGAAATTCCACTCTTATGTTATACTAATAAGTATTTTCATAAATATTCATATATGTACATAATATTAAATCTATCATAATCTATTATACAGTCTACTCCCCTTTAACCTCTCTAAGTCAAAACCAACTCTATGGCTAAAATGAACGTAAACCGTAAAAGGTGAGTGTAATGTTGGAGTCACTCGTGGCGCAGGCGTACGTGGACGTGGACTCGCAGCAGGCCAACTCCATGCTGCAGCCGCAGCTGCCGTCGCTGGGCGCGCACGGCACGCTGCCGCACGAGCAGTTCCTGCACGGGGAGTTCCCCGCGCTGGCGTCGCCGCTGGGCGGCATGTACGGCGTGCAGCACGCGCACGCGCAGCCCATGAGCGACGGCTCGCCCTACTACCAGCCCAACGCGGGCGGCGGCATGGACTCGCCGCTGGACGTGGGTGGGCAGCTGGGCCTGGCGCGCGGCTACGCGTCGCCGGGCGGCTACGCGGCGTCGCCGCGCCACTACGCGTCGCCGCGTTCGCAGCCCTACTCGCCGGGCCCGCAGCGCCTCGCCGCCACGCCGCAGCCGCAGCAACAGCAACAGGTACGCATACCCTACCTACGCGGCACGCTTCTAACTCCTTTCGTTTTGTATAAAGTAAATGAATTGTAATGTGTTAATTACTCGGTACAAGAATTGTATGTTTAATTAGGAGTAGTCCTCGTTATCTATTGTTAATCGTCCAAGATGTGTTGTGGAAAAAAATACCCAATTCTTATTTTAAATGATTTTTTCCCCGCATTTTCCATACATATCACCAAAAACTCTTAAAATGTATTATTTACATAATAATGCTATATAAAATTGGAAAAAATCTTTATTAATATTCTATTATAAATTTCACATAGTCTTGCCCTAAATATTGTTAAAAAGAAAAAAAATATTTTTTATATTGCACGTAACATTTATTACTATTAATTTAATACATTAATATAAAACCATTAAAAATATGTCAAGCATATTCGAAGTGGTCTCCATTGGCTGCAATACAGTCCTTTAAACGTTGAGGCCAATTATCAATAGAAGCACGCACTCTTTCCATGGGAAAATTCTTCACTGACAATCGTATGGATTGTTTTAGGGACTATAATTATCATGGCATTTAGAGCATACCATACTCTCTAACATTGACCATAAATCATAATCCAGCGAATTAATATCGGGACTAGATGACGACCAGTCTTCAGCTCTGATGAAGTCCGGAACGTGGGTTTCTAACCAAGATTGCGTGGATCGAACTTTATGACCCGGCGCCAAGTCTTGCTGAAAAGACCATTCTTGGTTATTGAACATGGCGTTGTTAACTACCTTCTCAAGAATGGTATCTTGATACCCTTGTGCCGATGTTTTGATATCTTTTTCACAAAAATATGGCTCAGTCACTCCTTTATAGCTAACACCCCACCAAACTATCACTGAGTCGGATAATGCCCAAGTTGTACTCTGTTGACTTATTGGGAAGCTTCCTTAGAGCTTTGAGCATTAATACAGTCATTTTGTTTGTTAAAATATTGCTCAATTGTAAAAATTTTGTCATCCGTAAAGAAAAATTTTCTGTGGCGTCCCTTTGCGTACGTACCGCTTAAGTAGTTGTTTTGATTTTACCACCCTATTCTTTTTTAAATTATCAGTTAAGAAATGACCAGTGCGTCTTTTATAGGCTGCAAGTCCTAAGTCATCTTTTAAAATACGCGTCATGGTTCTAGGTGCTATCTTCATCTCCCGAAATAAAATCTTTTGCTTTCGGACAGGATTTTTCGAATTCTTTCCTTTACTGCTTTGATCGCCATTTTCGTACGAACACTACGTGGACGGGCAGATCTTTTTCCATCACAAACAGAGGAGGTTTCATTGTACCTATCAACCTATCAATAGCCCGGTACACAAACATTTGAGTAATACCAAGTGTATGGAGAGTTTTAAAAATTGTATTTGACTCCATACCTACTTTGTGTAATGCAATCACAGCGATTCGGTTCTCTTTATCACCCGACTCAATGTTAATATCACAAAATATTTTACATTGTATTGGCGCGAAAATGAGAAAACACAATGAACAATCATATAAAAATCACAGACTCCAAATTCAAATGTAATATTTCAACCGACTTCCTCAAAAAGGAGGAGGTTCTCAATTCAGCTGTATGTTTTTTTAATGTTTGTTACCTTAGAACTCCGTCATTTATGAACCAATTTGGACAATTTTTGTTTTGTTTGAAAGTGTATACTTCCAGATTGGTCCCTTTTAAATTAAAAAAAAAATACCACTCCTGAGGGTGGATAAATAGCTAATAATGAATTTAACCTACTTCTAATTGTCATATTGACTTGAAACTTTGCAAGCGTTTCTGTTTCCGTTGATAGTAAGTTCAGTGGTTCGGTATTGTTGACCTGATCTGATGGTAAGGCCAGAAGGTGCATAGGTGGAACTCTTCAACGGCTAATAGTAGATATTTTGAGATTGGGCTTATTTTGTTTGATTTGACAAGCCTAACACGTTAGAATTCTTACTTTGCTACTACTGTCTACACTAAAAAGGGAAAAATAAAAACTTTTTAACAAAAAAATAAAAACCGACTTCAAACAAAAGCACTAAAAAGTAAAAATAACTGATTAGTAGTTTTCATTTACTATATATACCCAATCAAATAATTTCGAAGTCGGTGCCAGTCGATACAAAGCAAAGCACACCGATTTACTTTTTAGTTGTTTTTGTTTGAAGTCGGTTTTTATTTTTTTGTTAAAAAGTTTTTATGTTTATTTTTAATTGTAAAAGCCATTTACATTACATACATACATTTATGGCCAGACTATGTATTTTCTTAATGTATTGTAATGTTATTGACCGCGACGACGATTGTTACAGTACCCGTCGAGTCCGGCGGCGTTCTCGGCGCCTTCCCCGCCGCGCGCCGGCTACGGCTCGCCGGGCGTGGGCGTGGGCGGCGTGGGCGTGGGCGGTGTGGGCGCGTCGCGGGGCTTCGCGGCGCGCTCTCCGCTGTACGCGAGCAGCCCGGCCGCCTACCGCCAGCAGCCCAGCCCCGCCGCCCAGCCCCAGCCCAGGTTCACGCACGACCCGCTGCCCTTTGCGAGAGATAGCACGCAGGTAGGCAGGCAGGCACCTCGTATTCTCTTGCGATACACGCGGAGTAGAGAGTATTTTACGATCCACTTCACTCAGTCTACTCTCATTAAGATGTGTATAGGTAAACGTCGCATACTGGAAGCTTCGTTTTAAGGAGACTAGAACATGAATCTGTAGAGAATACATAGTGTATGTGTATTACTATTTACTATCACTTTCAAACAAAATATAGGCACCTCGTGGAAATTCACCGTAAATCGCCTAAAGATGTGTGCCCACTACACCGTCTCATACCATGACCGTGCTAGGGTCGTGTCAGGCAAAATATTCTTTGTATTGAAAAGTATGAGACTCTGCCCACTAGACCGTTTCATCACCGACCGGGACCGGGCCCGGCGCGCGGGCGACGCAATGGTGATCATACGCAGCACTAAAACTGTTATGTACGGGTATAGCACGCTGTTGATACGTTCTAGTGGGTAAAGTAGTCTATGCCATTCTCGTTTCCCTGCCTGATACGTTCATAGCACGGTCATGGTATGAGACAGTGTAGTGAGCATACACCGTTAATAGGCTCGCCTTCAGATTAATAACGATGTGATATCAATTAATAAAGTCGATTCTTTATAGTGTCTTATATGATTTGTTCGATGAACTCACAGAGCGGCGGCGCGTCGAGCGGGTTCGCGCGGTCGCCGGCGCCAGCGGGCGCGGGCGCGGGCGGCGCCAGCACGCCCTTCCCCGCGGCGTCGCCGGCGGGCGCGGCGGGCGCGGCGGGCGCGGCGGGCGCGCTGCACTCGTACACGCCGTCGCCGGCGCACACGCCCTACAGCCACCACTCGTCGCCGGCGCCCGCGCCGCTCACGCCCGCCTACACGGACTCGCACCACTTCGCGACGCAGGTCAGCGCCGCCCACTTTGGAATTCATTCAACTGTCATGGTATTTTTATGACGGTCCCTGTGATACCTAAGTGACTGATCGATGATGAAGCTTATTTTTATTATTGTACATTCTAATGTTAAATTAAATAAAATGATAGTTGGCAATGAGAAAAAATAGATTTTTTTCTCAAAGTGTACTTAATCTTATGCGATAAGTAAGATATAATGTATATAGCACCTGGACCACCGAGCATCGCTTGGATTTTTTGGTCGAAAGTACCTACAAAGTTCTTTAAAAAAAACTAAAAACGAATAAATACAAAAAAAAAATATACCTTTGTATCCAACCGCAATTCGAACCCGGACACCCATGATTGTCGATCTTGCGCCTTGGCCGCTTGACCATGATGCTTTTGCACGAGCTTGCGCAATTATCGACCATAAATTGCGCGGAATAATGCGAAAGAAAACCGCATGAAAATTCTAAAACACGCGTTTCCCCAGACATAAGACTAATCTAGATCGATTTATCGCCCCCGAAACCTAATACACATAATACTAAATTTCATGATAATCATTGGAGCCTTTTCCGAGATTCAGATTATTATTTATTTAGACTGCAGTTTAGTATATGGGACGCGGTTTAGTATATTTTTGGATAGGGGAGGTGATAGAGAGTCCAAATATATAAAAATTATTTTGAGGAAACAAAATTGTCAAAAGTTAGTGAGACTTAAAGTTACAACATTTCCATACATTATTTAGACATTACTGCCATTTAGACACTTGAAAATATCAAAATGTCACTTTCAATTATCAAAATGATCTCCAGATTATGTTTTGTCGTATTTTTAATTATACTTTGCGTGAAATTTGAATTTTCTAGTTTTCTAGTCATATAATAATGGCGTTATAGTAACTGTTCTAACATAACCTAACCAAGATATGAAGAATAATAAATAAATAACCTATGTCTTAAACTAACCACGATGTCGCAAAATAAAAACCAAAAGTAAATAATACACTTAGGTTTTAAAAATAATCTACTCACGTTTATAAATTGTATTAATATAATCTGTTGTCATTTAGGCGGTAATGTAAAACAGAAATTGACAGTTGTCAAAATGTACGATCATTTTGTTTACAATAGGTACTGTTGTGAAATTATTAAAAATTTAAATACAATAAAGCCTTAATTGTGGTGGAAATATGTATTGTACATAAAAAAGGATGTTTACTATTAGTTAAAGGTATGTTGATCTTTTGTAATCACATAGTTAGGTAAAGAAATGTATGGAAATGTATTAGACATGTTGTAACTTTAACTCTCAATAACTTTTTACTCTAACGTTTCCTAATAATATATTTTGACTCTCTGTCACTTCCCCTATCCAAAAATACCACCCACTCCGCCAGGGGCCGCGTCCCATATACTAAACTTGTGCCTTTATTTATTATATATTTGCAAGGTATGCCAACAATACATTGTACCTACGTTCGAAATTATTATGTTATAAGATTACTTATTCTAGTACAAGCATTAATAATATAGGCATACACAACATTGATTACATTTCTGGCTTTAAAACAATAATATATGAAATGTTAAATACAATTTCTAACAAATATTTATAAAAGATAAAATTAACTTAAAGATTACAAGGATTCGTGAACATTAAATACTTTAATTAAATTGATCACAATATAAATTAATGTCAAAATTAGAATAATACAATAAAAATAATAATCAATATTTATAATTTAAAACTATTATACTTATAAAATTATATTAGTACTAGAAAACACAGGTCAGTCATACATATTTTTTTTGAAGTTATTTAAAGTGTCTTTAAAAAATATCAATTTCAATGTCATTGTCAGTATTTAGAAGACCATTGTATGCATTAATTAAACGGTTTATTGGGGAATATTTGCCATTATATATATATATATATATATATATATATATATATATATATATATATATACATACTGATAACTAATATATATATATATATATATATATACACACACAAGAATTGCTCGTTTAAAGATATAAGATATGTATATCTACCTGTATTTAAAGAAACATCATTTGAAGTTTATTTGTAAGTTCCTAAATATTACTTAATTTTAAAAATACAATAATTGTCATTAACCACCGAGCAAACTGAAAGACTAAAGACTATATACATGGGTCAGTTCGTTATAATGACACTAGCCACTACGCCACGTGGCACACGCGCAGGGCGGCGGCAGCGGGTCGAGTGCGGGCGGGTACGGCGCCGAGCTGTCGAGCGACATCGGCGCGGCCATCTCGTCGCCCGGCGTATCGCCCGGCATGGCGCTGGACTTCGAGCCGCCGCGCCGCGCCGACGACGACGCCAGCCCCATGGGCAGCACCGACATGCACCCCGGCAGCAACAGCAACTCCTCGCTCTCCGACTACAATAAGGTACGCTCTTCGGGGCGAACTTGGGGCGGAACACCGCCAACTTGCCGGCTCCGAAAGGGTCTTGGACTTAGACTATTTTATGAAAAGTATCTCAGCCTATTGTTTACATAAATAAAAAGCTGCTAAAGATATTTTCCCGTAGAAATTACTGTATTCTTATTTAAAAAATCGAAAATTATTTTTCACTTTTGAATTCGGCGCTAAAACGCCACTCTTTTAACAATCGTCCAGCGTGACGTCACTTATCATACAGAGCGTGTGTAGACTATAAAGACCTCGATTATATTCCGTAATCTGTGGGCTCGATCGATTAATTATTATTTGAAAAGGGAACAAGAATATTGAAAATGAGTGCAATTAAGTATTATCAGTATTGTTCAGTGCCCTTATGTGAAAATAATACCAATAAGACACAAGGCGAGACTGGGAAAACCAATCCAGAAAATCAATGATTTACGTCTATAAAGATAATTTTTATGTAAGTATGCATTACAGTATAAAATATTCATTGAACAATACTTACATATTGCCAGACGCGACACTGGTCACTGCTGTAGGTATATTATTAGTCTATATTTTGTTATGATATGCTTAGAGATTATGTAGGTTCCTTGGATTATTTTAAGACTAATCAGATTTTTACACCTTTTAATGTGTGTAATACCCTAGTACTTAGATAGATAAAATCAGGGTTTTTAGCGAAAAATTCTGCCACCATCATGACATCGATACATGATTTGAGTTACCAGCTCGAATAAATTTTTTCGCCATTGACCAGGAACGTAAGTAAATATAAATATTACTTTACTTAAACGATTAAAACTTTGAGATTACAGAGAATAGAATTTTCGAAACTACACTGTATAAACAACAAACTAGCACAGATCATATAATACTATAGTTGACACTAATGAAAATGATAAGTGACGTCACGCACCGTAATTGGCGTTTGTAAAAGAAATAATTAATTATGTTAAAAATAAAGAAAAATGATGATTTTTATTTAATAATTCCTTTTAATAATGAATTCTAGCCCCACACACTACCGCTATACAAAACGTCATATCATTTTATTACTACAGTCCAAGACCCTATGTTACTGTAATTTCCCAATATGACCACTATACTTACAAAAATAAATTAATAAATTATTATATTTGTAATTTATAAAGATTTAATATTGTGATAAATTTAGATAGATCTTTAATTGAATAAACAGTTTCGACTTGTATCCTTGATTATGTAGTACATATGTTTCTGCACAAAACATTGCAGCAAAGCAACCCGGGCGGCGCGGAGCTGTCGCCGGCGGCGGGCGGCGGCTCCTTCGGCGGCGCGCTGTACGACGCGGAGGCGCGGCTGCAGTACGACAAGCCCGACTACCACTACCCGCAGGACCAAGGTGTCTGTTTGTGCACTGATAACTCGAAAGAGGATTTCCCATTTTTCATTTTGTTGTATCATTTGTTTGCAATAAAAATTTGCGTCTTACCCTAGCTCCGTTCGGGTACTTTAAGGTACCAGGTCGTAGTCTATACTGTATACTAATTTCCATCCAAATTCGTCCAACAGCTAGAGTGTAAAGAAGTATACAGTGTGCAAACATATATACGTAAAAAATGATTCTATTATTCCGATAAAAAAACTACTTTAAAATTCGCACCACGATCTCTTCTAAAGAAAGAAAACGTTTCATCCAATTCATACAATATTAGATCGATAGTTCGAGCAAATGATTTGACAACGTCAAAACAAAATTTATTGTGTTATCAAAATTTATTGTAAAATATATCCGAAAATAATATTAAACATTTAAGTAATAGTATAAAAAAAATTTAAAAACAAAAAAATCGAAAGTGCATATTACAAGACTTCCGCGATACTATCCAGACAAAGAGAGACAATAGCATTCCCAAGGAGGGTTGACGTCAGGCAGGCGTGAGGCGGCCGGTCGTAAAACTTTTGCCAAATCCTTTCAGCAGTACAGAAGATGTACTGCGCCGACCCCGAGTGATTGGGAAATGGGCAGGTAGAAGAAGTTTGTGCAAATGATACAAAACTATTGTAAGTAGTTAAGTTGAAAAATTGATCGCTAATATTAACATGTCACAGTGAAGGCAGTGGTAGTCCAATGGCAACGCGCTCATTTGCTTGGGGAACCGAAGCAGGTTCAAATACCGATCTCGCATTTCTGATATTTTCATGTACGAATCGTTTTCAGCATGATTACCACTTATCTTATTCTACCAGATCTAGAGAATCTAGCAAGTTTTCGAAAGACATAAATAGTCCGCCTCGCACTTGGCCAGCGTGGTGGACTACGGCCTGATCGCCCTCGTATTGGAGGAAGGCCCACCCCCAGCAGTGGGACATTAAAAAGGGCTGCAAACATACTTACATATTAACATGTATTTTGATTTATTGTTGTTCTAGTAGTGCTAAATGATAATATTATACTGTTTCAGGCAACGGCGTGGGAGATAGTCCCCGGCTAGACCAGCTACATCAACATCCCTCCATGTATCCTAGCAATTTTAATAGGCAAGTTAGCAAGTATTTATGTAAATCTCACAGGTCTATACCACATATATTTTTGTCTTCTTTCTACTATAAGTTACCGTTGAAGTTTCGTCTATTTTTTTATTTTTGTCTTTTAACCAAAAAATCTCTGGAACTAATGGACAGATGTCAGATTTGATAAATTCTTCTTGCATTTTGCTGCCAATTCTTGAGGAAGATTACATGCTACGTAACACAACACTACAATCCTTAAAAGCGGAGCAATCATATATAAATTAACTACGTGAGCGCATCCGCGGGCAAGAGCTTGCATATTATAACTGCTTAGCGCACATTTCTTATAAAACTTATAAAATTTTATATCATGTGTTCTATTTCAAATATTTTATATGTTCTACCGTTGCGTAACGACAAGTGGTTATACTGGCCGCTTCACTGCATTTACGAAATCGATGAGAAAAGAATTACTAAAGCAAATACAAGAGAGGAATTTAAAACGTTAGTAAATAAATGATAAAATACACAACACTCTTAGAGATGCATAGAACATATTATCGTACTATCTGTAACACACTTTTGCCAGTATATCGCAAAAAGTCTGAATTAAACACCAATACCAAATATTTGTATCTCGAACACGGAACATTGCTTCTAAGCTGAATATGAACCCACGACCTCAACCGCTCTCCAGTGGCAACTTTGTACCAATTTGTTGCATTGTGTATTAATAACATCGAGATGAAATCCGTCAGTTTTTTTAATGTTTTGTAAGTATTGTTGTGTTGACATGCCCACAATGTGCGCAGGTCGACGCCCACGGGCGACGGCGAGGCGGGGTTCGCGCGCGGGCCCTTCCGCACGCCCGACCACCACCACCCGCCGCCAGGTGCGTGCTCGATGCTTTTATTTTTTTTATATATTGGGAAATATTACGCATACCATCTATATACATGCAGATGACTATGTGGGACTCACCAGCTAGAAATGCCAGTACTACCTACTAAAACTCTACAGAACCTCCCCTATTAGGAATCGCAGGATTGCTTACGCACTCAACCACGACGCCCCGACGGCAGGTCTGCCGAAGCTGACCACATCACAGGGGTTGGTCACTACTTCTGTCCACTCTGCTGTCAGAGAAATATGTACCAGAAGCAACCCGCATGTTACACTGCCCACCAAAGGGTGACCTTCCTGTGTCTCTTGGCTGTACGCCCGGCTGGATTGCCGGACGCTAATGAGCCCTAATGAGCCCTGAGAAATATATATGTAAAAAAATTGTTTATGTTTAAGAAAATATTTATAACTTAAAGTTCATGTTTCGTTAAATAGAAGCTAAATGAATAGGTTTTAGAAGTTTTATCTACTTGTTTGCGTGTGTATCGTTGAAGGAAGAGGTGAATTCAATGAGATCATGGATATATACTTGTTGCATAAGTATATTAGTCTTAGATAAACAGATGAAAGCTACTTCATTTTAATCGGTCGAGTATTTTCAAACACTTTATTTGAACTTACCTTTTTATGAACTCTCATATAAAGCGGGACTGTTACTTATTATTATCGTTTGAAACTTTGCCAGGGTCTCCGAGCGAGTACGGCAGCGCGGGCAACGGCGGCGAGTCCGGCCCCGGTACGCCCAAGAGCAAGTCGCAGGACGTCGCGTCCAAGTCGCTGTCGGGGCTGGAGTCGCTCGTGGACCAGATCCCCTCCATCGCGGAGGGGCCCAGCGGCGGCGGCGTGGGCGGCGGCGTGAGTGGCGTGGGCGGCGTGGGCGTGGGCGGCGGCGTGGGCGAGCAGGGCGCGCCGCCCGTGCCCTCGCTGCCCGACTACGCGCCCGCGCTCTACCCGCCCTACCCCGCGTACGGCGCGCCCGCCTACGGGAACAACGGGTCAGTGTTACACTTGTGCTCGCTGCATTATTGTTAACTAATGTATGCTTAGATAGTGACTAAAATACCACAGCTGTAGTTTTTTTTAAATGTTTTTCGATAAGACATGGTCTGAGAGGTCATATTGAGTAAAATATAATTTTACTAAATACGTAAAAAATCTTACACATAAATATAAGGCCGTTTGATATTATTAAATTTTATCAAAAAGAGCAAGCTAACGCTCGCAACGTATGAACCCAGAATTGAAGCGCATTAAGTTCAACACTTGCAGGGATGGCTGGCGAGCCGGCGGGAGCGGAGATCTGTGGGATGATTTGTTGGACTATTGTATTGTCAACAGCTAGCCGTAGACGGTATCGGTAACGTATCGTAAGTAAGTGTGACAGTGAGTGAGCGTGTGGCTTGGCCGGCTGCAGGTACGGCGGGCCGTTCGTGGGCTACGGCGGCGGCTGGGGCACGCAGCTGATGCGGCCGGCGCCGGGCTACCTGTCGGAGTGGCAGTACGGGTACGCGCCCGGCGTGCCGCCCGCCTACGCGCCCTACAATGCGCCCTACTACAACGGCTACGCGGCGCCGCCCGCCCACCACCAGCAGCACTACCTGTCGGCGCCGCCGCTCATCGACCTGCACAAGAACGGCGAGCACGCGCCCGCCGTGCCCTCTGTGCCCTCCGTGCCCTCCGTCGGCTTCGGCGGCTTCTGTTAGTGTGAATCTCCCGACTCGACGTGTCGCCGGACGTGTCGCCAGACGTGCGCCGGGCGGTCGTTAGTGATGTAATTTAATCTTTTTCAAACTGAAGAGCTTAATTTTTAGGATTTATTTGTAAATATTGTATGTATTTATTTTGTCCATCACACGTTTTACTGAATCGCTAGACATCACACCGAGCGGCGTCGCCGGCGCCTCGGCTCGGCGCGGGGCTCTAGTGGCGTAGCGGACGGTCTGTGATCTCGGACGCTCGGCGGCGACACCTTTACTAATGTTTTCGACACAAATTGTATATTTTTGGAAGGTGGAGCCTCAAAAAAGTCTTGCCAATGGATGTGTTTCGTGTTCTAGTCACTAACTAATTCGTGTCGGCTAGTCAAATTGTAAGGAAAAAAATGAAATTCTTCCCCGGCGCCGAGCGAGCGAGCCGCGCGATGTGTATTATCTAAGTCACAAGAGCGGCCTACAAATGTGTAATGTATACTTTTATTTAGGTTTAGTTACGAGTTACGTACTTACGCCTCACGTTACCGGGACAGTTACGTAGCTTCGGATCGCTAGCCACTAGCGTCGTTTTACATATTGTAATGTATTTTTTACGAATCGTTGCGCCATCTTATCTTAGGGCTCGTCGCGTAGGTTTAGTTTAATGTTTTAAATGCATAATATTTACATTGGGTGCTGAGGTTCGTTTGTTTTGTTGTTAGTCGTCTGCCATAGCGGTACTCGCTTGTAGTATTTTTTTAAGTCTTTAGTATGTTGTTGATGTTTTTATTTTAATTTCGACTGTTTGGTGAAAGCAGAGGATGCAGGAGCCGGGGGTAGTGGGGGTAGCGGGGGTAGGGGGAGGCGCCGGCCCGTCGGGCGGCGTCTCGTGTATGTGCAATGTCACGCCGCGTCGAGGCGGTCATCTGAATCGTGTATCGAAATTATTTTGTTTGCACAAACGATAAATCTTTAAATGTAAGGTAAAAACGAAATAACATACGTAAGAAAGACATATACGTTAATGATAGGTTTACTCGAAAGAATTTATATATATTATAGTGATGTGATGGAGGTCGGCCGGTGGGCTCTCGTGCAGACACGCAACACGTAGATAGGAACGAAATAGAATAATTGAACGTAGTCCCTCACTGGACGCGGCCGGACCGAGATGTCTCGGCGCTCGCTTACTATAAATGTTACTAATGTGTACCGTACCCGTACCGTTCTAATGCAATATGTAAATACGTGATATTTTGCGGCGTTGTAATATTTTCTTTGATTTGCAGTCCACATTTACAGCACGAGTCGGAAGCCATATCGTTGCACCACTTCAATGCGTTTTGTTTATTTATTATTTGATTCAGAGAAGAAATGATAAGTTTATAAATGAAATCAACAGGGTATTTAAGATTGCTTAAGAAATATTATTTTATATTTATTATAATTATTTTAGCGCGCTCGCGCTCGTGTTAGCGTTACTTGCTGTACTGATATTGTTTACTGTCGCGTCCCTCGCCGCCGCCCCGCCCGCCCTTCGCGCTCTACACGACCTACACGACCACTCTCTCACTTTATGCTATTATTTATTGGATCCCATAGCAATCATTGTGGTTTGTGTGTCTACATTTACTAAATTGATTATTGCTTGTCACTGTATTTTCAATTTATATTGTTACTTTTTGCTTCATTAGTCTACTAGTTTTATCCCAATATCTAATAATATATAAAATTATTGTTTAATATGCAAATATTAAACAATAATTTTATATATTATTGTAATATATATTATTGTTTAATATTTGCATATGAACAAAATTCTCATTTATCTATATATTATCTATTTAGAATTAATCTAAAAGAGGTCTCTCGAAAGTCGGTGCGGGGCCGCGGCAGCTGGCGACAACGGTCTTGTATTGTCATTGTACATAATGAGTGCTTTATTACGCTTTTTTGATATTACTTATATTTTTATTTAATCTAAAATACTATTATATTTTTGCTTTTCTACTATTACGAAGTTTACATTTACATATATATCGCTTTCGACGCGGATCGCGCTGCGACGGTAAACGTCCTTCCTTGAGTTCGTTTATTTTATAAATCAGTATAATTTATTTTATAAATCAACTGCTGGTTGTTATTTTTTATAATAATATAAGATGTAATTTTGCTACTAACGTTACTTTTAGATGGTTTCCTATGCAAAGTGCTCGGTCTCGGCGCGACCGGTCGGCCGGCGTAGGGTAAGCGCCGTCAACGAGTTAGCGTAAGCCGCGGGCGGCGCCGCGCGCCTCCGCGCCGCGCCGCCCGCCTTGTTAGGGTCGACCAGTGTATGCATTGAGTCGCTCAACTATTTGTACAGTATGTATATTTTTGTAAAATTCATTCTAACTTGTGGCAATATTATGAAATTTTAAAATTTATCTCTAATATTGATATTTAGTACAATTGTTATACAGTTAATTTACATGATCGTTCATTCCCATACGTCGTCGTGGTCGTCGGAGCGGCAGGAACGGACGAGCATCGACCGGGGATAGTTGCACGACTCACTCGCTTAGAAGCCGTCGTGGCCAGGTTGTGAATAGTGTCGCTCTTCTCGCGCAGACGTGTGCCAAACACCGACGCAGGAACCCCGAAGCAATAATTTTACACATAGACTATCGACAAGCAATAAACTCCGGATTGCGTCGCGTTCGTATCGAGGAGACTTCGGATTCGACGACATTCTCATCGAAATTTCGTCATAGCTGTTAAATTTTCGGTTACGGGAGACGTGATGATAGCGTTTAGTGGTGACCAACAGAGTTCCGACAGGTGCCGGAGTTCGAACCTAGCTCAATTTTATTGATACTTAATTATTGTAATTTATTATTGTAACTCGACTCGCTTGTTATTCGCAGTAGACTTGGCCGATGACTCTCAGACTCGCAGACAGGTGCTGGCGTCGGCGCGGGGCGGCGCCGTCGCGCCCGCCGCCACACGTTAGTCAATTACCGCCCCGCGCCCCGCGCCCGACGCGCGTTGTAAAGTACAATTTATCGATATACTTTATCTGTATTATTATTAATTAATTATATAGTAGCTGCAGTCTACACTGTTGTCACTGTTGAGCGATGTCGCATGTTCTCGTTCGGTGGAGATCGGCCCGTGTGCCCGTTTATATATTTACGCTAGCGGTAACGCGGTTGATATGTTTGTACAGTTTTTAACGAACTTCTCGTAGTGAACTAAGCAAGAATTATTTTAGTATATGGTAAGATCTAATCGAATTACATTTTAGTGTAATATAATGAAGTACTCGAGGTTTTTCAAAATTTCGTTTTAAGATTGTACGGTCCCTCGTGAGGTTTTATTTGGAATATAATATTAAATGTCTCATTGGAAACAGACTCCGTAGGATGTAATTAGAAATTAAACAGGAAAATTTTAAATAATGAAATACAACATTAATAATAAGTAATGTATTATAAAAATAGGTGTAAGGTAAAAAGTTATTAACATTGTATGGAAAAATTGTGACAAAATTATAGTCATTTGTAATATTAAAGTGATGTTTTATTAAACCTTCAACAAGATCCTTTTAAAACTTTTATATTGGAGTTATGTGAAATGCCTTAATAAGGATCTGCTGTACCTACTAGAATCCATTTGGAAACTTGGCATGTAAATGGAGCATGGATGAATGATTTTTATGGTAGGTAAATTATACCCTTTGGTAAGGAACTAAATTAAACCTGACTTAAAATATTTTAAATGAGCGACTTACGTTCGTCCGTAGGTACGTTTTGACGGTTAGTATGGATTAGATAGACTATATTAATACATATATATACAGTACTTGGGCCACCGAATTTCGCTCAGAGTTTTTGGTCAAAAGTAAAATTTTCTTTTTAAAAAAAAACTAAAAACTTGAATAAATACAAAAAAAAAACAAAAATACGTTATACCTTTGTATCCGACCGAGATTCAAACCCGGACACCTTAAGACTGTCAATATTGTGCCTTGGCCGCTTGACCATGATGCTTATGCCCGAGCGAGCGAAATTATCTACCATATTTTGCGTGGAATAATGCGAAAGAAAACCGCATGAAAATTCGAGAACACGCGTTTACCCAGACATAAGACTAATCTAGATCGATTTATCACCTCCAAAACCCCCTATAAACTAAATTTCATGACAATCGTGGAGCCGTTTTCGAGATTCAGATTATATATATAAGAATTGCTCGTTTAAAGATATAAGATAAGATGATATGATGTGTTGTATAGATATCCCTTAGTTGAGAAATGGTTGATTCCCCATACAAATTTTCAAGCCACTGTTTTCATACCAAATTTCGCCAAATCGGTTTGGCGGATTTTTAGTATATCCTTTACAAACAAACATACAAAAATAATAATTTATTTCTCTTTATAATAGTATTTATAATCGTAGTAGTAGTATAGATAAAAACTACAAGTGGGATGATTGGGGTAGAGTAGGAACAACATAAGTTTTTTTAGAACTTTGGTATGTTTGAAAAGTTTTTTGAAATCGAACCTACTTATAGCCATTGTAGTCATATAAAAGTTATCACACAACAATTTTAAGTGAGTCTTGAGAATAAATTCTCGTGGGAGAGAAAAGTAGGAGAAGGTTTATAGGATTTCAGGACTAATTTCCGGAGGAAGTGATCTGATTACAACGGGATATCCATGGTAAGTATAAGCCGGAAAAACAATATTGTTTTTCCGGCAGGTAGGTACTAACTATATCAGGAATTTTTTGGAGTGAAAATATTGCAATTGTAAGGAAACAATAATTGATCTAAATGTACTTACGATATTCAGAGACACTATTTTATTTTGAACCGTTTAACGGGGTACATCGAGAGTACCGTTATAAATGATTTTGTTTAAAATTTAACTGTTTTATCATGTTTATTATGGAATTGACATAATAGTAACATACATAGATTAATTTATAATCAGAGAAAACCCCACTGGGCATAGTAGTAATTTATGACTTTGGTTAGAACTAAAATTGAGATTTACAGATTTTGTTATTATTAGAAGTAAAGTATTTTTAAAACATAGTTTAACTATTTTTATCTTGCTGCTAGAACATTTTTTTAAAAAGGTCATGATGATGATGTTCGTCTGACCGATTCCGGCCACGGCGGCCAATCTCATTGAGACTAGCCAATTGCGCAGGAGATATAGTGCACAAGTGTACGCGCAGACACAACGTGCACTCTCTATTTCTGTCACTCTCATATTCTGGTGGGACGACCACTCGACACGACCAGTAAGAGTTAAGGCGCAGGACCGACGGCTTTACGTGCTTTCCAAGGCACGGGGGTGAAACACCGCCATCATCCAAACTCCGGGCTGTTACTGAGGCTTAATATACAGAAAGACTCAATAACTAAACTTGGCCCGACCTGGGACTCGAACCCAAGACCTCCGGGTGTGCAGCCGTACATGCTAGCAACTACACCACCGAGGCAGTTGAAAAAAGGTCATAACTATAATACAAAAAGCGTACCTGTTTTAAGATGTTTCATATTTCAATATCTCTTCATAGCATGGATAATGAATATTGGAAGATTCAATGATAGATTAATGATAGTTATAGGAAACTAATGTCTAAAAAAATTTAAATTATTGTGTAGAAAAATATAACAACATTTTTTTAAATTTAGCGCCAAAATATTTAACATTGACAACATTGGTATAATTGCCAGTTTTTAGAGTATCTTTTTTTTAATTTTAGTTTATTAATATTTCCTATGTTACTTAAAAGCAACTCTGTGAAATAACTTCTATATACTGTTTATACGGATACAAATAATAATAATTAAATACATTTAAAATAATAAAAATGATTTATATTTTTACCAGAATAATGTCATGAAAAACATGACAATAATAAATTGATTAGGCGTAAGATTCGATTTTAATCATATGAATTTTAATGAAACAAATGAAAATACTTTTGTTCCTATTTATATATTTTATAATTAGAAAAAAAACGTTTAATGAAAATTACAGTTGACACAGCTGGCATTGTAGATATATTTTTTTATATATTTATATACAAAAATCTGCTTGACGACAAAAGTTGCAAGGTTGTTTTGATGTCAAGTTTTTGTTCAATTTTTAAACTTCGGGTTTTTTAAACCGAGAGTTAAAAATATTTATAAAGCTATTTATTTCGGTAAAATTTTTTGTTTATTTTAAGACCAATAAGATTTATTAATTTATAGTTATCATTACTGTGAAATTACTCTATAGTTGTTTATTATTTGTCATTGCGCCTTGTAAAGAACCTCAGTTTGATGGCTTCGAAACCATAGACAATTTGACTTGTCCAAGAGGTTCCGAAAAGATCGGTGGGTTGCCTGTAGATTTCGGTGTGGATTGAGATGTCGGATATCGGCAGCGGTGACGAAGGGATTTCTAGTCAGAGTACGTATTTATTTACAGCGGCGTAGCGACCAAATCGCGTTTCGTTTCGCGCCGTTTCCGTTTACCGTTGCGAAAAACATTTCGAGCCGTCGTAACGTTCGAAAGTAAATATCTCATTGTTCCCGTTTCAAAATGGCGAATTCGGGTCTGTTATTTATCGGGTGTTGAGGCCTCGGTGGGTTTCTGGTGCGGGATAGCGGTGCGGTGGCGGGCGACGGCGCGGCGGCCCGCCCGGCTCAGTGTTAGCGCCGGCGGAGGTTGACGACCTATCGATTTTTTCGTCTGCGACCTCCCGTCGGCGGGCGGGCCGGTGTCTGGTGGCGGCGAGGGTGCGAGGGCGGCAGCTGGCCCGGCGGAGGCGCCAGGCCTGCACTGCGGCGACTCCGCCGCCTCATCGTCAGCTGACGGGCCAGCACCATGGCAGGTCAGTGGCCGCGCTCCCGCAGGGATTCCTGTTGTTCCCCGCTGCCCGCTAGTCGTATCGCACTTTTCGCTAAATACTCCTGAAACTGCAGTTGCCAGATATCGTTTCGAATCACTTAATCAAGATGACCTGTGTTGTGTTTCTTTGTTCCTACTTCAAATGACTGCTAGTGTGGTTTGTTATAATTGTGCAGTGCTTTGTGTACCAGTGCTAGTGGAATTATTTGCAGTGTTTAAAGCTAAATCATTTAACTAAGGCAAATAATTGTTTTGGAACAAAGAAATTGAAAAATCTTTTATTGCTGTTCAATGACAGCTGCATATTGATTGAATTCTACTTTATTAAGTTTGACATTTTGTAAATTCTATGGTTAATAAATTGGAAGTATTTAAAAATTTCCTTAAGGTTTTACAAGAATTAAAATATTTATAGGCTTTCAAATGGTTAATTCTTATTTGAAATATAGTAACAAAATAAAAACTTGCATAATTACTGCAAACAGTGACTATTGTGCAAGAGTTATTAAGAAAGCATAATATTTAAAATATCTCTTGTACTACTTTTGGTATGCATTTTCAATGTGTATTTCTATAGTTGTTTTAGAACACAAATAAATATAAAATAAGAATATTTTTGATAAAATATACACTAAAAATAGTAGTACCTACACTACTTTTATATGGTAATAATTATTGTAAAATATTTTTTCATAGTGTCGTCAAAATGTATAAATACAAAATAATTTATTTACTTTTTGAAGAAAAAAAACTTCGTTTAAACAAGATATAAATCATTTGTGAGTGATATGCTTATAAATTGTTTTTCTTAAATATATGAACTACATTTCTTGAGACTTAAATCTATAACATATGTAAAGTTTTTAAGCTTAATATGAGAAAAATAAGGTTTTCATAGCATTTGACGAGAACTCTAGAACCCTGTCTGTGGAACACATGGAGTGTCTATTTTTAAAGTATTTTTTACTTTTCATCCAAAATGATATTTATGATATTACTGAACTTGTAAAAATACTGAAAGTCCACTCATGGTTAACCACTAAGGTTGTTGTAATCTAATATGTTTTGTACAAGCAGTTGATTGTTTCAATTTAATACTCCTAATTTCTATTAAAACATATTATGAATGCATTTAGGAAGTGGAATTGTGCTAATTCAAGATTTTTATTCATACATAAAATTTAAAATGTATAGATATAATGAATTAAAAAAAAACTAACTAAAACAAACTAAAAATAACTAAAGAACAAATAAATAAATCTTTAGTAAAAAATAGATTATACTTGAATATTATTAGATTCGCTACACTTTCATTAAATTAATAATGTAGTACAAGTTTATATTTATATAATATTTTTGTTCAAAGGATATTTAGAACAAAATGGCTTGATGAACTTTTAAATTTTCAATGAATAGCACAAACATGTACATATGTACATACATATGTGCCTTGCTTAAAGAGATTGTGATAGGATAGCTTATTTTCTAATGTTTTTTTATTAATGCCGTTAAAATTAAATGTTTTAAGTATGTAAACACTAGCATTTCGTTTTAACATTTAGTATATATTTTTCAGAGATGAGATATTTTAATGCAGTAAAAAGTATCTTATATTATGTTGGCCCGGATAACCAGCTATCATCATACCAAATTTCATCAAAATATGTCCAGTGGTTTTCTCGTGATGTGTTCCCAGACAGACATACATCCTAAGCTTACCATTCATGATTTCCAATAAAAGTTTTGTCATGGTTGCATGTTGAATATATGGAGTGCATTTTATGCTGCGGCCAGAACCTTGTCACATTTTAAAGATTGGCATTTGACATATCAATCTATCTATACATATAATAAAAATTGTAACTAAGCCAAATCTCTACATTAAATATTTTTTGGAAAATCTTTTTGAAATAGACTTTATTATCGATACAGAGAATTTTTGTGTGTCAGTCTGACCACCTCATGAGAAAACCACTGGACAGATTTTGATGAAATTTGGTATGATGATAACTGGTTATCCAGGTCAACATATAGGATAGTTTTTTCTGCGGGAAAATATCTCATCTCTGAGAAATTTATACCAAACGATAAAATATAACTAGGGACGAAGTTAAACTATCATAGCTGAAACTGTCAGTATTCCAAAAAGATTTTGTAAATATTTCAGTGACTATTTTAGATTATTTTTTTAAATATAATTGCTAAGTTATAAATACAGATATCATTAATATTTTGTTTAGCTAAATATAATATTGCTAAGAATTAAGAAATAATATAAATACATACTTATTCATCTTTCTAAACTTGAATAATTTTAAATGTACCTATATAATTTAAACACAATATCTTACCTTTATAACTTTTCTCTGTTACTTTACATTGCCATGTACATATTATTAGTAGTATTTTTAGAAATTCATTTATGATAAATATTTGTTTTACGAGAGTGGCAAATATAAATTAATTAATGTTTGTGAGACTCCTAGGGATTGATAATAATTAAAATAAAAAGACTCACAAGTGCAGTCTCTAATGTAGAGGTAAGCCCTCGCATATTTAATTAGTAATATTTCATTATAATATTGAAAAAAATATAAGATATTTTTTAAAGAAGTTGTTGCAAGACATTTTGATGATCATTTAAAGGTATTATTATCGTAGCTATTCTCGGTATTTAGTTTTTCGTAATTAATTCATGTTAGAGTGGATTTGTTATCAGTACACGCGTAACGCTAATTTCATATTCGCGTTCCGCCCAAAAAGCCGGCCCTAGCGGTCATCGACCCTTAACGGATAGAGACGTCCCACGGTTGCCGCGGCTTGCTAAACTTCACACTTCACTTATATGTTTGCTACGTTAGGTACCTTTGTGTACCTTTACTCCTTGACAGTTCTGTTCTGATGTCAGAAATGAAAATATATTTAAGGCTATAATAGAGTAGCATTTATTACAAGATTTTCTCGCAATGCCGATTTAAATAGCTCTAATGCTTAATTATAGATTATTCCGTCGTAGTTTACAGCTTGAAACTATTCAGGTACCGACGAGAACGGATTTTGCCAATCAATACGCCTTCACCATTGACCCATCCAGTGGCATTTTCTTTGAATACTATATTGGCTAACTATATAGCTATTGTGAAACGGAACTGTTTGCGAGGTGCGAACCGCGAATTTAGTTCTCTTCGTCATTGCGTCACGGTGTCCTAACATGGCTGTCAGTCCATAAGGAGTCTTTACACTGGCATGACTATTGTTCTACTTGCTAACTTGATGGTGCCTGTTACTTGCATGGTATTGAGTGCTTTAGATAGTTTGTGCTGTTTATGTATACTATAATTACTCACAATTTGAAATTATAATATAATGTGAAATAAAATTGTGAATGAAAAAAAACTTACCAAACTGTACTAAGAGCTGAAATTTAACTAACTTAAAAATAATTTAATGTATTAAAACCATTATCAAAATTTTAAGCAAAATTTTTGAACGATTCAATTAAATATCTCTCAACGCATAAAAGGAAATAAATACGAAACCACGTAATTTAATTCGCAGAATAATTCATTTGCAATGTAATTAATGTTGGAAACGCGGCATATAAAAAGCGCTCCGCTCAATGAAAACGGTCCCTTCTCAAGCGCGGAACGAGCTGAGGTGGTGATTTCTCAAGAAAAAATTATGGTTTCACTTTTTTGTCCGTCTGGCTCGTGTCTGTGGCAAAATTGTGTCTGCTGCCAATGACCCGCCTTGAACCACTTACATAACGACGCAATCTGACTCCGGCTACATCGGCTTATTGGCTTTATTTACCATCGCACGCGCTACCAAGTATTAGACAATATTTTAGCTTATTACGCTTGCCATTGAAACAATTTGCAGCAATGTAAACGCCTATAAAAATATGCCAACGTTAGCATTTGTTCGACGGCCCGCCTTTGCTTGAAAGATATAATTGATATCGCCTTGGACTCCTCAAGAATTGTAGTGTTGCCGATGGATCCGTTTAAGTATTATATAATATGATTAGGTACTGATTAAAAAAAAAGATTATTAACGTCACAAAAAATAGTTAAAAGTTTAAGTATATAGGTTGTAGGCGTATATTTACAATAATTATACTAAATTTATAATGATTAACATTTTATTAGTGAAGAATGACAAATCATAAGCGGTTATTTATAAGCGTCATATTATAGTAGGACGTTTGGCCTCGAAAAATTATATTCTTGGAAGAGATAGTTCCACATTCACTGCAGTGGTGTTACTACATGCCTAGGTTTACGACGCTGACCTAGAACTGTAATTCTTTTAATAGACACTTTTTGGGATTTAGGTGAGCATGACGCACATCAAAAGATGGGGGCGTATTCCTGAAAATAATAATAAAGTAAGCGAGTCGCGTCAAAGCCCTATCGTTTTTATTAAAATATTTTTAACATATTACATTACCAAGCCTATATCGAATAAAGCTATCCAAAAATCCAAAGTCCACCTAACAAAACGGACTAAAATTCTTAATAATCCCAACGGAGATATCGCTACGGTGCGGAACACACACTTCTTCTGCACAAAAGCTTAAGACATTGAGCCGATTGAAAACCGCAAATCTAAATACCTGCGGTGTAATACCATGGATGAGGGAACGTTAGATACTTCGAATCCTATTGCGTAACATATTTATGTTGCGAGTGTCGTAGCGTTGAGTAATTTATATATTCTTCTTTGTCACTGTTTTGCTTCCCAAGTGACCCGGTCCGGTTATGGTGGCAGTGTCCCAATGATGACGGATCATTATATTGTGATCAGTGTGGGTAACTGTAGTGCATACAAATTAGTTTGTTCTCTGCTATTTTATGCAAGGTGCTTAGCGGATTCCTTTACGGTTATTTTCCGGGTGTTTTTTTAATAGGATACACTCGGCATATTTTATATTGTCATTTTTTAAAGAATTCTTTGGCCAGAACAAATATCGCCGATGTCGGCTTACCATTTTTGTAACGATAATATTGCAGGTTAATAAGCCTAGCCTACCAGCCTAGCTAGGTTGGAGGCCGGCGTATCGATAGTCGCCAGCGAGCGCTAAGCCGCTTTGTGCCGGAGGCCTTGTCACGTGCAACCCGAGCCGAACCACTCGGCCGTGTCCGGTCACACTCCTTAACACCACCTATTGCTCCAATTTGAATTGCAATCTGAACATTGTACATATATGTTTTATTGGCTTTGGAATTCGTTTTGCGTGTAATAGTCCATGAAGAAACAGAAGAATTTACCTCTTTTCAGGAATATTCTATTCCTATATATATATATATATATATATATATATATATATATATATATATATATATATATATATATATAGATATATATATATATATATATAATATATATATATATATATATATATATATAAAGGGAACTTAGGCCCTTGTAGTTTAAATGAATCTGTCTAATTTCGATTTTACATAAGTTAGTTGTGCAGAAAGTTTGATTAATTTAAAATCGCAAATCGAATCGATGAGCCAATGCAGTGGACTACAACTGCAGTGGTTGTACAGTAACTATTAGTTCGTCTGTTTTCTGAGAAGTTGCGCTTTCAAGTTTAAATTACTTGGAGGTATTTGCTTAGCATTGCGTGTTTGATTATAATATACCTAATGTGAGCAGGGAAGGCAGAACGTGTGCGGCACGCGCAGGTCGCCTCCTAGTGCATCGCGATGTGATGCCGTTGCGAAAATAGTATAAATTTTATGACATAGCGGCACTTTCTTTGTTTCACCGTCGGATTTTCTGTATAAGTAATTGATGCAATGTTAAACGATTTTCTCTGAAAATAAATATTTATTACATTTGTAATAAGCTAATTCCATGAAAATCAATTAATGTACCGAGATAAAAAGTAGGCACAGTAACTGAACGTGTTATAAAATACTAGCGACTCACCTTCGATTCGCTTGAGTTCGTTCCTAGGTATGTTTATCTATCCCACGGGAACCGTACATTTTTTCCGGGATAGGAATTATGTGGTATTCCAGACTATAATCTATCTCTGTGCCAAGTTCTATCCAGATCCATTCAACCGTTCTGGCGTGATTGAGTAACAAACATCTATCCAAACTTTCGCATTTATAATAAAAAATTAAATAATTTTGTGCAAGAATAATCATGAGTATTAATTGGCTAAAGATTATCAACCTCCTAATACAGTATCCGTCTTCTGAATGTTAAAACGTTTAATTTAAAATATCAGCTTCAAAAACAATACCTGTGACGTTAATAATGGAGTTCTTCCTACAAAGCGTATACTTTTATATCTTTTTAATCCTTTGCTATTTTTTTTATTAATTACGAATCAGTTCCGAGTTTGCTGCGCTCGGTGCTCTATCCTTTAAGCCTATCCTGTTTAGAATTAATGACTTTTTCACGTTGTTTGTTTTAAAAATAGAAACCTGTTACTATTTTAAACCAGTATAAAACTATTGTAATCAAATAAAAACTGACTGGAATATGTTTGCTTATGCATTAAATGTTTTGTATGTCATAGTGTTAAAATCTGTTTGCTGGTACACTTATACCTATATGCATGTACTCGTTTAATGTACATACAATTAAGCCAACTTAAGATATTGTGGTGTTTTAAAAATGGTTATATAATAATTTTTGTATTGTATATTTCGCATATATAATACGGAAATTATAATGAATGCGCTTGTGGAATCCCAGACAAAAGCTTGTCGCGTTCTACTAATGTTTCGACACTTTGACGTCTTTACATTGACACTATTTGTTGTGAAGTTCCTTATCTGTGCTATATACGTGATGAAGATGACTTATTATTTGCTTTTTTTTTTACAGAATATCATGGTCCAGGAATGGAGGCGGGTGGAAATAATTTTGACTCCGGTAAGTTCATTATTTATAAAGTATACCTATTTAGGTAATAGGTAGATACTAAAACTAGCCTTAAGATTGTATGATATCATGGTCGATCACTCGCACCACAAATAAAAATTAAATAAAAAAAATATATTAGTCAAATTATTAAATTGTGAGAAAATTGATTACGCAGGATATTTTTTTATAAAATACTGTTTTTTATTTAATAAGTTGGATGTGCTATACTACGAATTTTGTACTTATTCTTACTATAACTACCGCCTTGCGTTCGCTTCGCTCGGGTGCGCTCCAGGGGCCTTTGTATGTATAATATCATATTATGTTCTCCCGACCGATTCCGGCCACGGCGGCCAACCTCATTGAGATTAGCCAACTGCGTAGGAGATATTATAGTGCACAAGTGTACGCGCAGACACAAGTGCACTCTCTATTCCTGTCACTCTTATACTCCGGTGGGACGACTGCTCGACACGACCAGTGAGAGTTAGGCGCAGGACCGACGGCTTTACGTGCTCTCCGAGGCACGGGGGTGAAACACCGCCAACTTCCCAACTCCGGGCTGTTACTGGGACTTACTATACAGAAAGCCTCAATAACTAAACTTGGCCCGACCCGGGACTCGAACCCAGGACCTCCGAGTATGCAACCGTACATGCTAGCCACTACACCACCGAGGCAGGTAATATCATATACAAGTAGCGCAGCCTTTTAGAAGTGCAGAATTCAAAATTAGGCATTCAGCATTAAATTATTACTATTCTTTTACCGAATGTAATGACTACCACCAGTTCGGAAAGAAAAACGCTGAGGCGTTCCTGAGAACTGGTGGGATTTTATCACTAATGAAGATCATATTCTATCACACTAGATAATACTTTCTTAGATTTACGCGAATATTTGACATTTTAAAGGGTCACGGGAGAGATTCCCGTGACCATGATTGCTGTAAAGCATTCGAAACGTCGGGAACCAAAAATCAAAATAAATCCGCAAAATAATCCGAAAGAGGTAGCTTTATTTAAAATGTATACTAGATTCATCCAAATCCATCCAGCACACACACATGTACACACTGTTTTTTTTACAATCGTAGTGCGATCACGTTGACATGCACTAATCATTAGGTATTATTCTAGACAATAGTTTTCGCCAACATAATAACCTCTTATTATAAAAAAAAAAACAATATAAAAACGACAAGCTCAACCGTAACTTCTTCCGCGTTGAATTAAAGAATGAAAAGGTAATCATATTGTTCATTAATATATTTATATATTTTTTCATTTAGTCAAATGAAGAACTTCAAAAATCGTAATACGTAGCCTCTCCTCCCATACCAGTATAATATCCCGCAAGATCTTTTGTTCGAGCTTAGTATATTAAAATTATAAGTTGTATGCATTGAGGAACAGTTATGCCCATTTAAATCGAAATCTCAAATATTTTTTATATAGTAACATAATCTGTAAGTATAGGAATATGTAAATATTATAAATGTGAAAGTCAGCCGACTTCAAACAAAAGCACTAAAAAGTAAACTGTTGGTAAAATAACTGATTGGTAGTTTTATTTTTCCCTTTTTAGTGTAGACAGTAGTAGCAAAGTAAGAATTCTAACGTGTTAGGTTTGTCAAATCAAACAAAATAAGCCCAAACTCAGTTCCACCTATCCACCTTCTAGCCTTACCATCAGATCAGGTCAACAATACCGAACCACTGTACTTACTATCAACGGAAATAGAAACGCTTGCAAAGTTTCAAGTCAATATGACAATTAGAAGTAGGTTAAATTCATCATTAGCTGTTTTTCCACCCTTATGGGTGGTTTTTTTTTTAAATTTAAATGGGACCAATCTGGAAGTATACCCTTTTAAACAAAACAAAAATTGTCCAAATCGGTTAATAAATGACGGAGTTCTAAGGTAACAAACATAAAAAAAAAATACAGCCGAATTGAGAACCTCCTCCTTTTTGAGGAAGTCGGTCGAAAATGTATGGGGAATTTCTTATAATAAATCCAAAGAGCTTTCTACGGATATATAAAAAGCCGTCTATATACTATCTATAAGCAGTTAGTTATTAGAAGGATTAAGAACGACGTATGAGACACATGTGTTTTTAATAATAATTAATTAATTTTTTAATGGATATGTGCTTGTTAAGGGATTACCTTATAGTTCTGTACATTAAGAAATTATTAAATGTGTATCTTACTTCTCACTAATATTATAAATGTGAAAGTTTGGATGTTTGTTACTCATTTACGCCAGAACGACTGAACGGATCTGAATGAATTTGGCACAGCGATAGATTTTAGTTTGGAATAGCACATAGGCTACTTTTTATCGGTAGGGTTCTTGTGGGATAGATTTGTTATGGTTCCCTAGAGACGAACCCGAGCGAAGCAGGAGCTCACTCGCTAGCGTTAAATAATGTCATCTTTGTTACATTCTAAAGATAACTAGTCTCGTCATATAACTGTGCCCAGCGGTTTTAAAGTAAACTGTACACATACAAGCAATTTACGAGTGCGATGTTACGAAGTCGATAAAATTAACATATAATATCGCGTGGGCCTCAAATTTTGCTGCTACTTGTAAAATCCAGTCTGCTCCTGTTTGGGTTTCTGTCGGAGGTCATTGAACTTATTTAAAAACAACTTTTTGTGTTATCTAATGCTTGATTTATGGCGTGGACGTAGCGCGGCGCGGCGCGGCGTGGAAATTGTGTTGTACTCGCGTTCAATAGAATTATGTATGTGCTCTTTATAATTTTATTAGCTCTCACATACTTGTACTCAATTTATTTTTAAAATTGGAAAGTTTATAAGTAGTATTGTTATTTACGTTAAGTAAGATGGTTTGTTCATCACGATTTAATATCTACCGTCAACGTTTTTCTGATTTTTTCGTCTAAAACTCATACTTTCGTTTTGGGTTAAGACAAAACCACGCCTATATCACACTATCTTTTAGACAGTAAATATGAAGATTTCATGGTTTATAAATTGAGATATAGTCCGATTAAAGAATTAAAAATGATTAGTAGTTACGTGTTAGCTATCTATGTACGTTGGCCGGAAGCAGTAGTGCGTGTCTGTCTGTAACGCGTTGTAAAGCTAAGTAATCGATCGCGATTTCTAATTACGACCGTTCGAATTTCGACACCTGCCTGCCTCGGATAATTGAATACGATAATAATTATTTCAAAAGCAATAATATAATGGAACAAAGGTACTAGGTTAAACTATAAAGTTGTAACAACTATGCTTAATTGCCTAAGTATAAAAAAGAACTGGTCATGTGTTTATATTATATTGATATAAAAAAAAAACAAGGCCGCAAAATACTTTGTGTAATAAGTTAAAATAAAAAAACTAACTCAAAAACACGTGTAAGCTATTTTATCGCAAAAATAATGAATCTATAAATATGTATAATGGCTATGCCTTTAGTTAATTGAAGGTAAAATGTATATTTTTTGCATTAGATAATAATTATTCAAATATATAATAATTAATATTTAAGTGTTCCGAGAATTATTGAATTTGGGCTATACATATGTACACACCTACACGTTGCTATCGGCAGGTGAAATCGGCAAATTTATGATGTTCATTTTAGAAAGAAAAAGCAAAGAACATCAATATTAAAATAAAATAGCCATGCAAATTTAATGTGGATATTTTTACAGTAGTATATATATTTAAACTGTTCCATAAATTAAAAATTAAGATTTGTCAATAAAATATATAGAAATGGCGCACAGTTTGACCAATTGTCATGCTACAGGTCAACAGCCACAGGAGCAAGAGTTGGCGACAAAAATGCTACAGATACAGTCAAAGAGGTTTTATCTCGACGTGAAACAGAATCGACGCGGACGGTTCATCAAAGTAGCAGAGGTTTGTAACTATCATTACTTTCCCATTGTTTCCTAACGAATAGCATTTTTCAAGCGATATCGATATCCATATCGATAGGTAACTTATGAGATATTGTAATCCTTTCGGATCCTGATGTCTAAATTCGTGGTCGCCATGCCGGTAACGGGTATTTAATCGGGGTTTAACGGATTATTAATAACGATATTGTTCGTTATTGTCCCGACGTCTGTTCCGCGCCGGAAGTGCTGCTCGCGCTGAATCCACAAAGTTCCGGAAATTGCGAATGTAAAACTCTGAACATTAATCACTACTTGAAAAAGTTATCGTGTAGTTTTTATAGCGAAATTTCATATCGATGTCTCGTTCGTGGATTACTCGCTGCAAGTGGTGCGAATTTGTATAGCAAATGTTTGGAGTCAGGTTATTGCTTAAGTTTGGGCGAATGATAAAAATGGGTCAGACGGACATCTGTAGGCAATAGGCATCGCCGGTGTGGCTATCACCATAATTAGGCGGCAAATGTTTTAGGTTGGCGGGGTCGTTAGCCGATTGGGGCCAAATTATATTGAAATTAAATAGCTTTAAAACCTCCTTTATTTATAGACGTAATTTAAATTTAGACTTTTCATTTCAAAAGTTCGTATATGGCCCTCTTTCAGTTCATTTATGTTTGTTCGAAAGACGAATGAAACGATGAAATATATTTAATTGTATAAAGTACATAATTATATGGAAAATAAATAGGTCAAGTAAGAGACGAATTCGCACTCATTTCAACTCTACCTATTACGGTTCATGAGATACAGCCCTTTGACAGACGGACGGAGGAAAGCGGAGGCTTAGTAATAGGGTTCCGTTGGCGCTCTTCGGTTACGGAACCGTAAAAAGAAAGAAAGAAGACTCGTATGAAGTAAAAGGTTCATAGGTACATTTTAAAATGTTCAACGAATTTAAAAAAATAGGCTGAATAAGAATCGTAGAATCGGAGAATGTCCAATTTACATACATTTTTCAATACCTTTATAATAATGTGTTAATTATTTATACCTATTCCTCGCTACGAGCCATTCATTTAATGTTATGCACGATACACTTAATGAAGCTTTTTAATTTTCTTATTTAGCCAAAATTAACCTTTAAAAATTGAATTGATTTATTTTAGCTATACGTTTGTCGGGTCACCTATCTCTTCACCTAAGTGTACAACTTCAACTTTTTTCATTGTAGTACAGTGGCAAGAACAGGCTACACAAATTTTAATCTACAAATTGATTAAATTCGCATAATGCGCTGTCGATTTAGCTCGTTTTATTGGTATTCTAAAGGTGTAGTAAAATAAAGAAGAGTGTATATTTTAAAGGTATTTTTAAGATTTAATTATTCTCGGAACCGAGGGGAGACCGAGAGTGAGAAGTTCCAAGAAACTCAAATCCTCTTTCAAAAAACATAGGATAGGGCAAAGATCATACGTCAATGTTTAAACTAGTCTCGTATCCTAGTCCTGTATTTTACCTTTTTCGTATTTTGCTAATACAGACTGTCTGCCGGGGGGCGGCCGACCGACACTCTAATCCTACTATCCCGTAAGTTAGAAATATTCTATTGTTCTGCTGCACGACCCGACGCGCCCGGGGAGCGGTGGGAGACTGTGTGTAATAAAAATAAAAGGTTTCCATTGCGACAGACCAAATGTGTACCTGTTTTCCTTTGCTTTACATACATGACATTTTTGACAACTATTGTAATGACTTACGATCATACGAGAAGAAACATATTTTTAAACTTCTAAATCGTTTAGTTGAATTAGTTTCTGGTTTCTTCGAGTTTCATCAAAGTTGTTCGAACAAAACAAATGGTTTTAACCGAGATCGAGTTTGAATTGGTTTTGACGGTGTGTTACGTGACTCATGAGTCTTTTTTCAAAGTAATTTGCCAATTATAAATGACTAATACATCAAGGCACCTGACGGTACGTAAAGAGCTGCTGCGTTGATGCAATAGATTCGAGATAAGCAGATGATTGGACCGATGTCATAATCGTTCTTGATTTACAAACATTTTTCACTGTCCAATATAATCTTATCGGCTCGGCTGGAGATAGTTTACTGCTTTACACGGTCGTTAGGGAGACGATGTGTCGTTACACATGGTTTTATGTGTTTGTTATGTACATGTTTATTTTGCAGCATTTATTTTACATTGAAATATATAGTTACAATTTTAAGTCTTGTATTTCGAATTTAAAATCCTAAATGTGATAAAAAAAATATTGTTTTTTGCTTGGACACATATTTATTTAGATACTTTTAAAATCCTAAGAAAATAAATACAAAGTAAATTTTTTTTTGATTATAAATAAACATTATTCTCCGAGCTATATGACTTATACTAAATTTTAATTGATATATGTATGGTGATAATTTTATCAGTAAAATGTTAAACATGACTGTTCAAGATCGGCGCAGATGGACGCCGCAGTCAGATCTTCCTGGCGATGTCGACGGCGGCGGAGTTCCGCGACCATTTGTCGAGCTTCAGCGACTTCTACTCGTCGCTCGGCCCGCCCAACCCCGACAACGTGCCCGACGACGGCAAGCTCAAGTCTGAGATGATGCTCAAGGTTCGTGTTATAATGCACACTTGAACTGGTCAAATATGACGATTTTTAAAGTTCTAGGCTTTATATCATTCGAGGATGAAAATTAGGGCATGTTGGAAAATTAGAGATTTCGTCTAATCTAAGGATTTTTTTAAATCCAACCCTTAAAGGGTTAAAACGAATTCCTATACAAACTCCTAACTCTTAGGAGTTTGTATAGGAATCCGTCATATTTGAAGTTGTAGTGATCAACATTTAAAATAACTTTTCTTATTAAAAATAGCGTCTACTATAAATCAAAGTTTTTTGCAGTACATTCAAGGGGGGTGAAAAATAGAGGGTAAAATGAGTATCGAGATTCCGTCAGTTCCGTCACTTGATAATTTATATTAATCCCGTTCATAAAGAGATACTTTAAGAAAAGATTTCAGACCCTAAACATTCTAATATTTGTTTTTTTTTATTGCTTGAATGCGCCATTGCGGACAGAGTCGCTGGCTAACGCTAGTTATGATATAAAAGGGAGTTGAAATATATAACATTAGACAACTCGTAAAGGTTGCTATTTAAGAACGACTCCACTAAAGCCATTTTAGAAAACCAATCAAAATCAAAAGCTTGTTTCATATTATATAATATATAAAATTTTATTAAAGAATCGTAAAACTTGTTTGTTATAAGCGATGTCATTAGGGAAGTCGTTATATCTAAACTTTTTTCACGGGCTTTTGTGTGGAGACCAAACTTCACAGTACAGTTACGTCATTCGCAACGGCCGGTCATTATGGGCGGAATCGTATTAGAGGATTAAGGAGATTACAATGTACTCTCATGGTTCTTGTTGTTGCTACACCTCCGTGCCTCGGAGTGGATGTCTAGTCAGTAGCTAGTTCTGTGCCAGATCCCTGGTTTGGATAGCTGCCCTATTTGACATTCAAATAAGGAACTGTGTTTATGCAAGTTTAAACTATAATTCTCGCGTATATAAATAAAATTATATAATTGGTCAATCTTAGTGAGACTGAGGCCACTAAGACACAAAAAATGTACGTTTGTTGCTGACTAATGGAAATCATTATTTTTTTATGTTCCCCTGATCTCTAAGCTCTTTTTTACATATGAATATCGACATGTTTTAAAGAGAAAATGCACTTTAAAATTGCCCCAGTATTGGTAAATATAGTTAAATCAATATCCAGTGCAGGGACGTGTCACGTGACATCGGTTCGTTCTCGGAGCTTTAGTACTTTATGTGCATGGTGTTCAGCGGCTTTATACAAGCTTAGAATTTAGAGTAATTTCGAACTTGATTTTTATGCGAAGTATACATAATGTGTTACAATATTTTAATGTTGTATTTTTTAATTATAATAATTTTGGCTTACTTCATTGAGATTAGGTAATTGCGTCGGAAATAATACAGAGTGTAGACAAATGTGTATGTACCTACTCTTTATTTTTTCCATCCTTATTGTTCGTTGGGGCGATAATAATTCGACACTCGCGACGAGATATCAGTCTCAGAAGCGACGCGACATGTGTTTTGTTTCGGCACGGGAGTGACTTCGCTAACTAGAAATGTCCTGGGACTCGAACCTAGTGATATAGATTGTTACCGCCAATGTGCCTGTCCGGCGCAGGTATAATTCGAAGTGATTAGCGTGGGCCGTTGCAGGACAACCGGCGGTACTACCTGGACCTGAAGGAGAACTCGCGCGGGCGCTTCCTGCGCGTGTCGCAGACGGTGACGCGCGGCGGCCCGCGCTCGCAGGTGGCGCTGCCGGCGCAGGGCATGATCGAGTTCCGCGACGCGCTCACCGACCTGCTCGACGACTTCGGCACCGACGACGGCGGGTGAGCTCATGCTTTTTTTTGACTCACCGGCTAGAAAAGCCACCACGCCCTAGCCGACCTACCAACAAGTAGACTGTGTGCAGATATAGTTAGTATAGACTATAGTTTATTTGTGTACTAAATTTTATTAAAATCAGTTCAATCGTTTTTGCATCGAAGAGTGGTAGACGGACACACATACTAATTTTCATATTTACATTTATATGTATGTAGTAGTCCGATATGGAAAGAGGTTAAAAATTATAGCTAGCATCATTTTTAGAAATCGTTCATATTTTTAATTTTTATTCTAAGTATATGTCTTGACTAATTTCAAAGGTTGATCTTGAAAATAAATTCTTAACAGCTGGTATTCGTTACCGATAAATTTTGCAATCTTCATAATTTAAGTGTAAATATATACTCGTTTTGTAAATATAAATGTATATTTTATATGTGATGTATGTACGCGTGTGGTGCGCCAGGTTCAAGGGCGAGCTGCCGGAGGGGCGCCACCTGCGCGTCGACAACAAGAACTTCTACTTCGACATCGGCCAGAACAACCGCGGCATCTACATGAAAGTCAGCGAGGTGGTACCCTCGTTGCAAGTAATTGAGCCGCGCTGTTCACTATGCATGATACTGCCCCGTACACACACCCCAGACATATTTCATTATTTAATTTATCTTCTTCTCTTAACATATATTTTTTTTAAATATTGGATTTAATTTTGGTTAATTTGCGCAGCACTTACATATACATACATATATTTCATATGCGTGTTCAGCGTTTGTTTTTTTTGAAACGATTATGAAGGCTGTCGCCAACATTGTGACATTAATTTAATTTGAAATACGTTTAGTAAAGTGTAATTATAATTCAATTTTTAAAGTCTTTGAAATTATTGATTTCGCAGCCTCGAATTTCTATCGTATTAATAGTAAAATATTAAAAAAAACTAATTTTAATTTCAAAGTCCTGTTTTTCCTGTTAAAAACAAAATTGTTGCTCGCTCATAACCCCTTGTAGACCAATATGAGTGTATTTGCCATTGCTCGCTTTGTATGCGTATAATGTTTTAAAATAATACGTTAGTTTGGTTTTTTAATTATGAGAGAATATTTCAGATAAATTCAGTATTTTCAGAAATCAAAATTTACACACACACACACACACACATACACACAAATCTTCTCTCTTTTTTATAGTTAATGTGTAGGTGACGTTCAATGAGAGTTTTCAGTTTAATCTTTTTGTTAATGGCTTCATTACGTGCCAGTAGAGCACAGATTACTTCGCCAATGTCACATACGTTTTGACTGCACTTATAAATTTGTGAGATATGTTAAGAATGATTGCCACTAGACCTCGTTGAATTAATTTGTTGAATAAAAAGATTAATTTAAATTTGTCTGTTTGTCATGTTTTTAAAGCTATCATTGCAGGCAGAGTTAATTAAAAATTTACAATAATTTTAATTGTTAAAACATAAATATCACTCACAACCTCATTAGCAAATAGCAAAAAGCGGTTTCTGACGCCATATTCTACCTATGCTATTGTTGCCATGTAATCGTCCCGTAGCGGCTAAAATGAATAAACAGCCATATTTAAACAGTTATCGCCCGAAGAATTCCTTCTGTCAAATTAGATTCAATTTATTTTCTAGATAGTTCATAATTTATGTTTATTATAGTCAAAAAATCGTAAGATTTATTGCGAATACTTGACATTCTAAATAAAAGTATTCGTTCGGATGCTTCGATTCGAGTCGTTCGTATCGGAGGAGGGTAGTACAGTGTGCGCGGCGCGCGTGTGTGCAGGTGAAGAGCAACTTCCGCACCGCCATCACCGTGCCCGAGAAGTGCTGGACGCGCTTCCGCGACATCCTCGCCGACTACTGCGACAAGATGACGCGCGCGCACGCCGACGCGCACGACCACCACCAGGTACTCATCTAACATGCTCATCGAAAATACGCACTCGTCGAAATGGATCTGTACTAGTTTTTAGAGACTTAGAACATCCTAGGACATTTTTTCTGAAGTTGTTCATTATATTATGTTGTTGAATTAACTAATATTTATAGTCTGTACTAAGGAATCTAATTATAATAATTAATGAACGCTAGATGAAGTCCGTATGGGTACCTTATGTCGATATTACATACTCTCGACTCACTCTCTCTTCTCTCGGCTATGTCCAAAGCTATGTACTAAACGGTAGTTTATACTCCAAATCATAGTCATAAATTTCATCTAAATCTGTTCAGTCGTTTCAGCGTGAAGGATAAATAAACACACACACAAACTTTTGCATTTCCTTCCTGACGAATTTCAACAATGTCTGTCAATTTCGTATAACATATAACGTATGCTCGCGCAGACACAAGTGCACTCTATAATTTCTGTCAATCTCATATCCTGGTGTGAGGACAATAAATGTTCATCCATCCAGATCTGCGATAGTACACGCTAGCCACTAAACCACCGAAGTAATTATAATAATAGTCTAATCGTTGTTAATTACAATAAGTCGTGTTCGTCGCAGGGCGGCAGCGGCGGCGGCGCGGCGCAGCCCGCCAGGGACGTGGTGAGTGCGCACGCTGCCCCCTTTTTCCCATTTTTCCCCACTCTTCCCCACTCTTCACAACTCTTCCTCACGCTTCCCATCTCCCATATTTTAGGAGATAGTGGTCTAACTCGTGTCAAAACTACATTTTACGTTAATGTATTGCAAACTGCTTATAAATATATGCATTGTTTTTCTATATTATCAGTTATTACGCATTCTTCAATACTTCACTTTTTCACTTTTATATTGAAATGAATTGAAAAAACGTTTATCTTGAAGAAAATAAACGCAATAATAACAGTAACTCTGATTAATATTTTTTGTCTATAAAGGTAGCCATAGTGTTTGATTTTTTCGCGGATTTATTAAGATTTTTGGTTCCCGACGTTTTGAATGTTCTATAGCAACAATCATGGTCACGGGAGAGACATCGTTATGATATAATGGTATCATTATGAGATATTTCAATCACAGTCTACTAATTCCTACATTCGTCTAAAAAAAGCGACCAGACAGGACGTCCGTGTGAACCCGGACGCGGGCGAGGCGCACCCGGCTGCCATACCGTATCTTTATAATATGACAGTCGGGAAACGGCCTTAGGGTTGACGGATATAACTGTAACTTACTACAAAATGGCACTACTGCTTTAATTTCGAAACCTTTCAACATAAAAATTGGTATTTTTATAACCCTTTAATCAGGCGATCTTAAATAGGCGATCACTTGCTCTAATGGTTTTTATACTGTGTTTCTACTTTAAATTAAAAAAGTTTACTGTACAATCGATATAATTTAAAGCATGCCCACTGGGAGTATTGAATACTGTACGTAGTTGGATTTTACAAATTGGACAATATCTAGTTGTTAGATGAAGTCGATATTGACTATCAAAAACAATTTCCGTTATAATAATCTATAAAAGAAACAATAGAATACAATCACATGGTTTATTTGATTGCAGGAATCATTCGCGGGAAGCGCGCCGCCCCGGATTTGATGCGACGGCGCCCCGCAGTGACCGCCCACGCCCAGCGCCGCCCCGCGCCCGCCCACGCCCACGCCCCCGCCCCGCCCACGCCCACGCCCACGCCACCTGTACATACTGCTCCTAGTGGGCATTCCTAGCCTCGTCTACCGGAGCTTCGTCAACGCTCGCTTCTACCACATCTGGTATTGAACCGAATGAAGGTTATGTAAGTGGTTACTTGCTAACTCCATTGTTTCTGTTGATTAGATTGGATTTAAAAATGTATTTATATGTTAACTTTTCTATTATAATTTGTATTTCAAAGTAATTTGTTTGTTTAAAATTTTAATTTTAATTGTTGTAAAATTTTTAAAGTGAAAAATAGTAGAGTATTAGTACATTACACTGGAAAAGATAAAAATTGAAATATATGAATTGCAAGTTTTTTTTGGTTGGAGTTAGCATGGAATCTACAATATACATTAACTATTGACCGGTTTACACGCGGAAAATGAGCAGCGAATCTAAAACTTTAATGTAAACAGGGTTTAAAGCTGCTTTCACAGTGTTTCAATATTTAATGTATGTTTTTTTCATTCGGTTTTGTGATAACTATAAGAAAAGCCGTGTAAATCAGGCTTTATATTTGTAAATAATCGGGCAAATAACTAAGATTTTCTTTAAATAGTCCCGGGCGGTGTAAAAAAAATCAGATTGTAACGCCACTTATCTAGTTGTAGGTGTATGTGTTTTTTTTTTATTATTATTTAATAATAGTTTTTGTCTGTTTACATCGAGATGTATATAACAGGCACGGGAGTGAGGGATTAGACGTGGAATCGGACACAACAAAAAAAGTTTTTAGGTAAAATATTGGAAAAATGTCTATTGAAGTGAGAAGGGACACGTTTTATGGATGCGATTCGGTATGAACGTTCGGAATATCGATCACAGCGAAACGCAATCAGAAAAGGTTTAGGCGGAAGCGGTTCCACGTAGTTAGGTTCCGGAGGACACCGGGTGTTTACAGGCGCTTATTACATCCGCCGCTACGCCGATATTCACACACAATTTTATTAATAATAATTAATGTAATTAACATTACAAAAAAAGTCTTTGTTATTTTTTTTATAAACATTTTTTGTGTAACGAAATTATTATTAACATATGAAATCAGTTATTATCTTATATTGTATATATATATATATATATATATAATATATTTTTTAAATAATACTGTATGTGTGGACACCGACGTAGCGGCGACACTCGAATCTTTAGATAAGTAGCGCTCTGCTGTGATATACTCGTAGGCGAGCGGCGGCCGCGGCCCTCCCCCCTGTCCCTATACCCCTGTATCCCTATATCCGTGTATCCGTGCATCCGTGCGTCCATGTATCCGTCGTGACGGTACTGCGTGAACGGATAAGTATCCTTTGCTTCTTACTTAGTTAGTTCTCTAGTATCACGTAGCGTAGAGCCCCGCGTGTGACGCGGATCGTGGATTTAATCCTGCGTTAGATTTCTTTAGCGTTATTGTATTATAAGTCGAATTACAAGGTTTTTAAGCAATTGTTTTTGGTAAAATTTAAATTGTAAGCTAGGTTTGAATATATGTATTGCTCTTTAGAAATTCCAAACGATCGATGAGAAACGTCATATATTGGTAACATAACTAAGCTTTATATATTTTTTTTAATAATTGTTATAGCTATTTGATAAGATTTACGTATGATTTGCATAATATTCGACAGTTTACACTGTCAATGTTAACATAATGAATTCAAACGAGACAGGAGTGTCTATAAACAATGTGAATTAAATAAGATATTAAATATTAGGCGCGTATTACATCAGATTACAATTATTTCCACTTAAAAAGACGAATGTCTCTAAAAATCCTTTTGTCCCAAAACTCGAACTACTGAAAGTAGTTGGCAAATATGTTTTATATATCCGCCTAGCGCCGGCCGCCGCGGGGTAGGTTAAGTTGGCTTCGTAAGCACCTGTGTGTCTCGGCTCTCGTCGCCCGCGCGCACCCTGCACCCTACACCCTGCACCCTACACTCTACACACCCTACATGCTGCACACTTTACATACATTACTCACAATACAGAACTTTGCATGTTACATAAAAAGAAAAAAAATACGATTTCCTTATACGATCAAAGCAAACATGTCTAAATCGGGCGCGGGCGGCGGGGGCGGCGCGCGCGTGCAGTGTGCGAGTGTACGACGTCTGTATTCAGTTCGACTCCCAGCGATTTCACTATAAGCTTCGCTCGGACGAGCTCTTGACTTTTTGTACACCTTAAATTAATAAAAAAAAATATACAAAAATACAGCAAAAAAATTTAGGCTGTTAAGTGTTTTACAATAAGTAGGTACGTAGCTATCTACGACTCGAGTCAGTTAGTGATACACTCGTTTCATATATATTTTACGTTATTTTAAGATGATCGAGACGGTCGTTAGTTCCCGCGCCCGTCGTCTGCCGACTCGGAGCCGGGCCTCGCATCGCCGTAGACCGCGGCCGCCGTCACACCGTCCTCTATACAATAATGCGATAATAATGTCTAAACGTTTTATTTGAATGTTTCTCCGCTCGGTCGGTGTGATCGCGCGCCGCGCAAGTTTCTCTGCAGCTTTTCGTTCTGTACAGCGTAGCGTATATGCAGCGTGGATGCAAGTCATATGCTAGTTTTGTTGGAAAGTGTACCTTGTCTTGACGTATCATGGTCCATTTTGGAACGATATTAGCGTATGGGTTTTGTGTCCGGCAGTGAATTTTACTTATATAATATATATTATTTTAGCAATAGTTGTACGATCATCGAAATATGAAGTACACTCGAGAGTATATGTATACATATGTATATCATTGTTTTTAGATAGTGACTCTGTCCTGATTAGCAGCTATTATATACTACGTTGCCTAGATTACTCGGTCTGTAAAAGTATAGATAATAATTCTATTTTTATGTTTTTTTCTTTTTATCTGTGACTAAAGACAATTTATTACATTTTAAATCCTCTTTCCTCATCGTTGGCGCCTCCGCGGCGTCCGCGGCGCCGCCGGGCGCTGGCGGCCGCGGGCGTAGTCGACTTTTAGATTGCATCCGACGCAGTGACCTCGAGACGAACAGTGAGCGATGCAGTCTAAAACGGTCCTCGAAATAGGTTAATTCACAGTACATTTTCCTCAGCCCCTAAAATAGAGTTGGATAAGTTGGTGACGTCCGATAACGTTAAAATATAGTAAAAAAGTAAAAAAATACCTATATAAATCACTTCTTTATGATAAATAATAGAAATATATGCGGAGCGGGAGTGGCGCCTCACGAGTAGAGAGCGGGCGGCGCGGCGCGCGCCGCACGCGCCATCCTGCTCGCACCCGCGCGGCGCCGTGCGTGCGAGCGGGACGGCGCGACCCCGAGTCTAGCGTTGAGTACTGAGAGCGGGAGCGCCCGCGACTAGTGGCTTCGTTTTAAATAACAATTTATGGTACAAAATGTAATTTTAGTTCCATAGACGTTTAAGATTTACAGAGTTTATATTTAGAGAAGATTAAAATGATTATATCCGGCGGAGCGACCGCCGCTACCGGTCGATAAATATAATATTATGATATATGTACAATGAGTGTTTAACGTGAAGTTGAAATAGTGTTTATGTTATAAAGCTAGTTATCGCGCGAGTGGATGGCGTCGCCACAGCGCGGCGCGAGGGTGGGACGCTACGGGATTTTGATTTTCTGTCTGGCCGGCGGGCCCGTCCCTTGTTGCTTGCAAATCCCTTTAATTATACAATTTCTTTACAATTTCGAGACATTCTCGATTATAATAATTATTTAACTGCTCAATAATTAATGTTCCGTTCTAAAAATCATTGTGTTTTTGATTCCATATTGGTTTATTTAAATTATATAACATAAAAATCCCTCCTCTGTAATAATTCCGAACGGTCTGGACAATAGATTAGCAACAGTATAGGTATGAGAGTGTTCGAGGAGTGTCGAGTTCGGAAGCTGCCTCCTGTGATACTCGCGCGCGCCGCGCCCGCCGCCTAGCATCGCTTTATCGGAATTGGTTTTGGACGATATTTGCACCTAAAATACTTAAACAAAAAGCCCCCAATCGTTAATATTTTCTTAAAAATTACTCATTTATTTTGGACCAATCGTCGGTTTTGGTCCACTGTCCAACAAAACCAAAAGCCTTGGTCAGACATGTTGATGAGTAGTAACTAGAATAGTGGAAAGATAATGGTTGGCTCAAGGTCTTAAATCGTTTTTTATTTTAAGAATCGATTTTAAAGAGATCTTGGTAATGTATGATGTTAATTATGACCGATATTATATTTCATTATTATTATTTGATATTACACTCGTAATCAAAATCAAAGTTGTGAGCAGAAGAAGGCTATTTACAGCTTACTTTTTTTTTGTATTAAGTAGCCATTGGTAATTGCAAATGTCGCTTAAACCAATTCCAGTATTTCTTTGCGGCTCACAGGGTCTACTTTCTCTTCATCTCATAACTTACGATTGTTTTTAAGCTTTTATGATTTTTACGGCTTGACACTGCCACTGACGAATTTTCTACTCGAACAAATTCATCACTGAATGCATCGCATTTATATCATTGTAATATTTTTCATCGAGTTTGTGTGTAGGATATAGGGTCATTTTTCACAGTACGATCGCCTTGTACGATGGCAGCAACATTCCAGCCGGACACGTCACCTAGTTGCTTAGCGGCGATTTTTTTTTACATAAAGTATGTAGTATAAATAGCGAGATTGTTTCCATTTGAGCCGAGTGCGTGAGATGCGAGTGTCTTCGCAGCAGTAACAGTGGAAGTGACTCTGTGAGCCGCGGTCCGCCGGCGTCGCTGGCTGACGTGATAGTCAATTATTATAATATTTATTAGCATTCGTCTTGGCGCCGTCACACCATATTCTATCCGGATAAAAGAGCTAATAATTTAAACATAAGTTTGTCGCGTTTCAACAATCGACACGATTTAAAAATATTTAAGATATGATAGAAATATGACAAAATTAAGAATAAGTTTAAATTTGGTACGATTCCGTGTGACGGTGTGACGGCGCCGGCCCCGCGCCTCTCCCGCTCCTTTCGTTATACATACATTACATAGCACTTAATAGATACTGATCGATACTGGAAAATAAAAAAAAAATAATAAAAAAGATTCAGAGTTATAATAGTACGTTAGTTTTAATTATATTTCTGATATTGATTGATGTTTTGCTAAAAGATAATTTATCTGTGCGTTACGTTTGATGTCGCGTGGAGCTCGCTCTGCCGTCGCAGCCTCCGCAGCCTTCCGCCGCGCATCTTGTTTCACATCTCTCCATGTTGCAGGAAACTTACTCCATATAAAGGCCAACTTGGTCCTATGAACAATTCATGGATTTGAGGAAGTGTATACATAGAAATATGTTCGCATTCACAAGATACGACATTGTCGATGTTCAAATCCGGCTTAAGTTGAGTTTTATCTTTATCGGGAATAAGAGTTCTGTGCGATGAAATGAAAGTAATTCGTCGGGTGACGTTGATTGTTCCTCATATTGCAATAGTGCCGTGTCTCCGGGCCGCGTACCTACACATACGTGCGCTGCACATTGCACATAGTCATTATTATCTTTTTAATTTTTACTAATTTTATAGGTAACGGATCTATGTTATTTCATATACTCATATATTTTTATCGTATTTGATTTATATTTACAGTTTATCCAGAATAGGTTTATTTCTTGGCACTAATCATTGTTTGTTGCGAGTTTATTCGGTAGGAGCTGCATGTTCCCGATCAGGCCTCATCATCACCGATTACCCGCCACTATGTGATAAACCTTGAAATTCATGTAATTACATTTAAGCAATACCAGTACCTGAAATTGATAGAGATGAAAAAATTAATAATAGAACGGAAATAGTGGTCGGATTCTCCGAGTCCGAGTGGTGCAGAGCATTCGCAGGATAGAGTTCGCAGTCGATTTTTTAAAGGGACGCTTGTGTTGATTTACTGTATCGAATTAAAATAGTTATGTGATTTGATTGGGCGGTCGATAGTAGGCGCCGGGGCCGGCGCCGCCCGCTCCGGCGGTCGAAGGTGGGGAGGTAGTTTTAGGATTCTAAGTGACTATTACGAATCGTAGATTGTCGATCGTTATGTTAGTTGATTAGTTGAGCACGAATGTGATTGCATCTGGAATTCTAATCGCTGACGTATTAAATGTCAGCTCGGCGAAGTACGATTTGAAATGATCTATCGAAATCCTAAAGCAGGTTAGGGTAAAAGGTTAAAGGGATCACATGCGAGGTGATAAATGTTAGCCGTAGGACGTAACCTGACGCTGTGTCCGCTCGTACCGGCCGCCGGCGTCAGTGTCGCGACTCGCGTGGCGGACCCCGACGCCGGGGGTGGCGGGAGTGGCTCAAGGCTGTCGGATGTATTTGATAACATCAGTGTATAATTTGTTAGTAAGTGCTAAGTGTGTAAGGTCGGGAGCTATCGTCGGCTCGCGGAGTCGCGGTTCGACTCGAATCACGTCACGAGTGATACGTTATAATATCATGAGAGTGAAGGTAAATGTGAACGAATACTGCCAATCGATTGTAGTTTATATTAAATAATGGTAAATGATTTGTAGACTTAAACGATTTCGAAATATTATGTCCTAAATATTTCATATTTTATGTATAGTATCGGTATATGCGGCGGCGGCGGCGCGCGGGCGCCCCGGCAGGGGAAGCCCCGCGCGCCGCCGCGCGCTATGTAAATGTTTTTCTTAGGGTGAGGACGATGGATACAAACTGTGTTCTGTAGTGTACCGAGCGACAGGGCGTTGTCTAGATAGGTTTGCACTTGTCGCGGCGGCCATCTTGCGACTTGAGCCAATATTGCTTCTGTCGCCATTTTGATGAACGCTTTGCCGGGTCGCATAATGGTCGGCGCAAAATTAGTCGTGAACTATGTTCACGAAAAGCTAAATTGTAAAAAAAATAGAATGCAATATAATTTGTGGTGTAAAGTACGAAATTGTTGGCATATTGGGTGTTGTGTATGGAGAGGGGGGTTTGGTGAAGGTTGTTTTGGTTATCTTAAAGCAATTCTTTAAAGTTATTTTATCACATCTCGCCTGTTTTGAGGAGCGCGTAAACCGAGAGACGGACCTGCTCTAAAGAGTATAGACTGGGCACCCAATATGTATAGTTGGTAAATGATATCGTAATGTATGGAAATGTGGACTGACGTGGCTCATGTGATGAGGATAAATTTTTTGGACTTTAAATTATGATTTCAAAATTTTTAATTCGTGTGTAACACGACACGTTTCTCTTGAGACTGGCTCAGTTTGTGAGGGGCGCAGGTGCCGGAGCCGCGCGGCAGAGCCCCGGCGCCTGTCCCGGGCGCTCTTGTTACGTAATGTGTAACTTAATGAATCTGTGATTGTGGTCTTTAAGACCAAACCCGATTTCCGAGAGCGAACTAGTCCAACTTATTCAAATAAACTTATAGATTATATGTATTGCAGATTACTGAGCGAAAGCGCCTTGACATTTTGTATCCAAAGATTGCTAAGTGTGATGAATTTTCCTATAGGTTTATTGTATTATTGTATTTTATAAACTTGTTGTTTTCTGTTGTTCGACACTAGCTATTGGTAAAGTCGGAACAAGAAAAGATCTCCCGATCGAATGATGGTCAAAATGTAATAATTGTGTGTGTGCCGAGTGCGGGTAGCTTAGTGCGGAGCGCAGAGGACATTGGACAGTGGAGAGTGGAGTCACTGCCGGCTCACTACTAACAGCATAGCATAGCATTAACGAAACGCGTTTTATAATCAAATTATATTCTTGTTTCTTTCGTGTCGCTGAAACTGCTTCACTTTCTGGGGCCAGTGTCTATCACTTTATATCTTATGTATATTTGGGAGTGTAATGTGTATTCTGCGGACGAATGTTCTTTTTTGTATCCAGCAATTAAATTGTAATCTTTTACGAGTGTGATTCGTCCGCGGAAAGTTTATATCGTATCGGTAAGGCAGTCTGACTGCGACATGGTGCTTGTGTGTACTTACGATGGATATATATTGTTTCTGTTTCTTATAATAAAAACGCTTATTTATTTTTCTAATACGAGTGAAATTCAAAATTTCGGGAGTAGTCTGTATTTTTTTCGTCCTAAGTTTTTACGATTTTTTGTAAACGCAACACTACTTGCTCCTCGAGGGGACGTTTGATGAGTGCCCGCGCCGGCGGGAGCGGTGGTGTTGCGTGCGCTATGGGGCCGACGAGCCATCGTGCCGTGCCGGAGGACGCTCGACATACACAAGGCGGAATATTGGTGCGCGACTGCGACGCGCGGTGTGCCGTAGGAAAGTTTTACGATAAATGGTGAAAAAATAAAAGAAATTACAAAAAACCTTCTTGCATTTTTATTTTATTCATTGGTAATTCATGGTTTTTATGTACTATCCGAGGTAAGAGGGCGCAGCATCGCCAACTTTCCAACTTCGGACTGTTACTATTTCTTGACCATTATTGTCCAAAGTTGTCTATACTAATTTTATAAAGAGGTAAAGTTTTTGAAGTTGTAGGGGATAATCTCTGGTTCTACTGAATCGATTTATATGAAACTAGCATTGCCCACGGCTCCGCCCATGTTCGGATGACCAAAAAGTAAATTCTTAGGTTTTACATATTAGTATATTCTTAAATTGCAGTTTTTGTATTTTTTCTCAGAAATGAGACATTTTCCTGCGGTAAAAAGTATCCTTTAAGTTGACCCGGATAACCAGCTATCACTATACCAAATTTCATCAGTAACTCCAGTGGTTTTTCTGTGATGCGGTAACAGACAGACAGACAAAAATTCTAAAAACTATAGATCCGGCCTCTGTATCAATAGTAATGTTTATAATACTTTCTTAGATTTACGCGATTACTTGACATTTTAAATAAAACTATCTTTTCGGATTTTTTCGCGATTTTATTTTGAATTTTGTTTCCCGACGTTTCGAATGCCTTACAGCAATCATGGTCACGGGAGAGGCTGAGATGTTAGATGTCTCTAAGGCTTTATATAGTTGTTACAGTCTGTAACAAAAATAAATTCGCGAAAAAATCCGAAAAGCTAGTTTTAGTAATGTTTATTTCAATAATATTTTCCAAAAAATATTGAATGTACAAATTCGGCTTAGTTACAATTTTATTATATGTATAGATTCGGTAAGAAGATAGTTTGATACCCTGGGAAGGACATAGGATACTTTTTATCCCGGAAATCATACTTTAAGGGGGTGAAAATGGGGATGAAAGTTTGTATGGGGAATCAACCTAGGGATAAACCCGAGCGAAGCGAGGGTGAATCGCTAGTACCTATAGATAATAAAAACGAACTAAATGCAAAATACTGGTTTTATTTTTCACAGAGTTAGTATATGACTTATCTGTATATGATGGTATATAGGACTAATATAATTTTATGTAGCCTATGTTACTTCCTATAACATCGGCTATCTTCCAGTGAAAGTCCCGTCAAAATCAGTCCAGCCGTTTCAGAGATTATCCGGCATAAACAGACAGACAAAAATTAAAAAAAAAGTGTTTATTTTTTTAAATACCGTATATAATTTCATATGCATTTAGTAGAAAACTGTTATTTTGACATTACAAACAGATATTTAAATTTTATTTATCTGTATTACAGATAACGATTAGTACAGATTTCTCAAAGACGAGATATTTTTCCGCAACACAAAGTATCCTGTGACCCTTTGCCTTGACTCGGATAACCAGCTATCAGCATACCAAATTTCATTAAAATCTGTCCAGTCCAGACAGACAAAAATTTTAAAAATTAGATTCGGCCTCTGTATCGATATTATTGACTATTTCAATAAAAAAATCCAAAAAATTTTGAATTTTATTATATGTATAGGTTATTAATGTTCTAAGTTGAGGATATGCAGTACTAGAGGCGTCAAATTCTTATGCAATAATATTTACGATTTTTATCCAATTTCTTGTTAAGCCAAATGGTTAGGAGCTTTATTGCGAGTATTGCAGGTATATGACCTGCAAATGCACGTTTTTATTTCAAACAGTTATTATATATAATTTTTGAATCTTATTTTACAGTAGGTACTTACTTTAAAATATATGTGCTTTTGTATTTAAGATAAGCGTATAATTTTAACACTAGATACATTTTAATACTATTTGACAAACTTTACGAATGACGTCAACGTTTTGAATTTGCAACACTCGTTTACAAACCTATAACCATGACCTATAGCCATAAACTAAATTAAACATAACCTAAAACTTACAATTAGTTTTTTATATTATTTATAATAAGTACGATTTGTGTAAAAAGGTAGTGGTAGCCGAGTGGTAATACGCTCGCTTTGGAAACCGAATGAAACGGCTTCAAATCCCGGGTCTCGTACCTCTGATATTTTCATGTGCGAATCATTTCTAACATTATTACCACTTGCCTTACGGTGAAGGAAAACATCGTGAGAAAACCTGCATATCTGAGAATCTAGCAAGTTTTCGAAAGACGTGAACTCCGCCAACTCGCACTTGGCCCGCGTCGTGGACTACTTATAGCCTGACCGTACGTACTGAACGACGACGACTCCCTTCAATACGAACGACTGCCTTCAATACGACCGACGTATTGAAGGGCGGCCTGTGCCCAGCAGTGGGACGTTAATAAGGGCTGAATTCATACACACACATACAATTTCTTAATTGATTGTTTTAAAATATAGGTATTTTTTAATTATTATAATAAGATAAGGTTATCTTCTATTTATATTTATTTTCTTAAATAAGTCCTAATTCATTAATTAATGATTGACTTCGTTATTCTCAAGTTTGGAGATGCATATTTCCATATCCGCTGTCTTTGATCGTAGAGACTGTAGACCACGCACGGGCGCACGTCGAGGGCGACAGTGTGCGGCTCGATAGATGCGTTATTTTTGCTCATCGAACTCTTAAGTGCTCGTACGTGCTTAAGGATTCGAGGATTGAGAGGAGGGCTCGGAAGTCGGAGTTATGAAGCTGATTATAATTATCCTAATGCATTTGAAGGAGTTCTGTTTGTTTGTGTGGACAGGCCAACAGGTTTTCGTAATATGTTAATATTTTTAGTATTACAGTTTTGTAAATAAATAATATTTTTAAAAGAACAGCTGTTGAGTTTCTCGCCAGCTCTTTTCAGTATCTAAACTTGCCGTTTGACTTCGTTGTAGTTTCTTCACGGACTTACATTACCTAATGACATTTAATTTAAACCTAAATGCTTGTAAATCTATTTTAATTTATGATTAGAGTACTTACCTAGATATATTTTGATAAAAAAAAATAGATACATTTTATACGTAAAACTATCTTATTACATAAAAATACGTAGGGAAGTATAATATATTATGTTATAGATATCCTTAGGTAGGGGCTTACCTACTTGGCTACTTATTGACTACAAAGCTGATATAACTAAAGAATATAACAAATATACCTACATAATACATATAATAAATATTCCGATAGAATAATGTGAAGAGATTCTTAAACTTAAATAGTTGCAGACAATTGCATCAAAATATGATAAGCACAAAAAATTAACACATCATTTAAAAATAATGTTACACGTAGCTTGTACGTGAGCACATCTGTACCATGTCGCCATTAACGTGAACAAGCCCTATATACTTTAAACTTCCAAAGAACTGAAAAGATTAGACACCATACAAAGTGAATTAACGAGATGTATTCAAGAGCTCTCGCTCACGACGTTTATTATAATCAAAAGAATAAACAACGAGCTGCCACCTGCCATTTGCATCTCAAAGTAAGACTTCTAACGCATGCCAAATTTCGCCTCCTCTAAACTGGTCGGAGAGCCGTTAATTAAAACTGTTGCTGTTA